GGGCCTTTTGGGGTTCCTCTTGTTTGGGACTCTCTGTGCTTCCTGGACATGTATAGCTATTTCCTTCACCAAGTTAGGGAAGTTTTCTGCCATTATTGTTTCAAATACATTTTCTATTTCTTGTTCTCTCTCTTCTCCTTCTAGCATCCTCAAGATACGAATGTTGGCACGCTTGAAGTTGTCCCAGAGGCACCTTACACTATCCTCATTTTTTTGGATTCTTTTTTTCTTTTTGCTGTTCTGATTGGGTATTTTTTGCTTCCTTATATTCCAAATCGATGGTTTGCTTCTTGGATTTACGTACTCTACTATTGAATCTGTGTAAATTATTCTTTATTTCAGTTAGTGCCTCCATTTCTGACGGTGCATCCTTCATTTCTGACTGGTCATTTTTTATGCTCTTGAGGCCCTCACCAAGTTCACTGAAGTTCTCACCAAGTTCATTGAGCATACTTATAAGCAGTATTTTGGAGTCAGTATCTGTTAGATTGCTTATCTCCATTTTGCTTAGTTCTTTTCTTGGGGTTTTATTCTGTTCATTCATTTGGGACCTGTTTCTTTGTCTCCTCATTTTGGCTGCCTCCCTGTGTTTGTTTCTTTGTATTACTTTATGAGAGGTATGGGGCTAGGTGAGACCAGATGCTGCTCGTTTGAAAGAATTTAGGTAAACCTGAAGCAGGATCCAAGACAGGCTAATCCTATGGTAAAGCAACTGGCAACAGTTGGGTGGGCCTGAAAGTTGGGTGGGGTGGGGGTCTCAGGGAATCACCAGGGCAGGGCTACCAGTGTGAGTCAGGTTCCTGGAGTCCCAGATATGGCGGCTGTCTGCCACCCCAGGGAAGGGCTCACCAAAGGAACAAAGGTCTCTGACAGCACGACTGTCCAGGAGAAAGACGCCTCTCCAGCCCTCACTCCAATGCCAAACAGCTCAGTTCTTCCCTGTATGCCTCTGGTGCCCCTCAAGCTGCTTACCCTCTGTGCTTAGAGGGAACAAGTCTGAGTAAGTCCATGCGCAGGCCCTTTAAGAGGAGCTGCCTCCACCTCTGCCTCACTGAGCCTCAGTTCCTGCTGGTTTTTCCAGCCACTGGAACCCTGAGCGGGGCACCTGGTGTCGGACGGGGACCCCTCAGTCCTCAGGGAGGACCTTCACAGCCGAGGTATCCTCCTAATTTTTATCTACCACACGTGGGTGTGGGACCAGCCTGTCACACCTCTGCCTCTCCTACCAGTCTGGATGCAGCTGCTTCTTTAATTCCTTAGTTGTAGGACTTCCATTCAGCTTGATTTCAGGTGGCTTTGAATGATGGTTGTTCTATAGTTTAGTTGTAACTTTGATGTGGTTGTGGGACGTGATACCACGCTTACCTACACTGCCGTCTTGACCAGAAGTCCTACCAAATTCTTATCAGTAAAAAAGAATAAGAAGCAGGATCGGGTCCTTAGATATAATAAAAATCTTGCCAGAAAGATAGGCCCACAAATGGATGAAAACTATAATAAATATTTCAGAATGAACTAAAATAAATTAAGAAAATAATACAAGACAGTAAAGAATAAATCAGAATTTTAAAACTATTGAAAAAGGAAAATAATTATTTCAGAAATAGTTACTAAACTAGAAGGATAGAAAGACAATGTCGGCAGGAGAGAGGGCCACCTAACAGAAAGGGTAGCTGGCCCAGGCCATGGGAAGGAGAAAGGCTTTTGTTACACAGTGGGGATGGGAGGACTCGCTGCTGCTCAGGGGGCCTGGGAGTCATGCTCCAGGCCAGACTGCATGATACAGAAGTAAGTGCAGAGGCTGTGACCCTAGTCCTAGGCTTGAGGGTCTGGCTCTGCCTGACGAGCAGAGGTGCTTGGTGAGGTGAGAGGGATCTAGAAGTGGGGTAGAAGAAATAAAGGATGAGTGTCACACATAATAGAGGGCTGAAACTCCTTCATCTAACTCTTTCCTGGTAGTGGAAGTAAGTCCTTACACTCTTATTATAAGGAGCCAGTGGGTCTGAGTGGCCCAAGTATAGGTGTTGATGAATACTGCAATTTCCCGGATCCTCTTTCCACACCCACATGTTCATGGGTCACAACTGTACCCTCAGAGGCAGTAAGCTCTAGCCACAGGGACTGCATCCTCAAAGGTGAAGCCCCCTTAGTGGTAGCTGATGCTGTTGCTTAGGACAAGGAAGGGCTGTCCCAACTCCTTAGTGCCCTGCAGGGATGGGCAAATCTCAATCACAGCTCTATGGCTGGGCAATCTCATCTCCCTGTCTAATGCTGCCTTCCTTGCTGACCAGTGCAACTGCTGGGGCCACTCTTCCAAATGATCTTGGGTGACAGTCCATCTCAGAGGTTTTTCCAGAGAACCCAGTAAGGTGGCAGTCTGCTTTTGTAAGGACATCTACTGAGCCAGGAAAGGCACTCATTTGAGAATTAGAGTGTGGCTAGTGACAGCCTCACGGTCCCTTCATATTGTGAGATAAAAGAAGTTTGGAGAAGAGCAGTGACCTGCTGGCCCAGGTTTCCTGCCTGATGCTGGCCACGCCAGGACTTCTAGAAGCCAGGCCATCTCCTCTGTTCCTGCTCCACTCTAGCACATGCTTCCCTGGTGTGCTCGCCTACATTTTCTATAGGCTAATCTTCTATATGTCCTTTGTGAACAAAAAAACGGAATTCTATGGAAAGTAACCTCACAGGGTAATTGGATCATGAATTCCTAACTGGATAGGTTGTGGTGAGTAGTCATGCCCCAGGCATATTGCTTCTTTACCAAAAGTCTTATCTTTGCCTTAAGCAGGCCCTGTCCATTGTCTCTGTGCATTTAAATTAACACACTTTTGAAATAACCATACTCAAATGCATAATCTTGTTAAGTATCCTGTAATCCAATCCCCACCCTGCTTTCTCCCACCTCTGTGTCATCTTCCTTACATTCCCTCCTTAATTTCAAATGAATAAAAGAAACTGCAAAACTGTTGTTCCCTGGGCTATTGGAGATCTTGCTCCCGGCATATGTTTTGCTCAAATAAACTCTTACAAAAATTCTCTACTAGTTTGGATGTTTCTCATGTCGACACCTTCTATATTTTCCTCCGTATACACTGGGAGGCGTTTTTCTTGAAACCTGGAATTTGTTTTCTTGAGGAATATTACAGTTCTGATATACTTTGACCTTTATACTTTTTTCCAGGAGCATTTTCTACTTTCCTTTGTCCTAAATGTGTTATAATATGCTCTCTGGAAATTCCCTGTTGACATTTTCAAAAGAAAAGAATTCAGAACCAGAAATATGTACAATGATTTTTCCTATTGTCGGGAAATCAGAACATGGGCCAAAGAGTTCCCTAAGTGGTTTGAGTTTATTGTTTCAATGATTGGAGTCGTTTATTTTGGCAGGCTGGAACTACACTGGCTTTCATAGTTGAACAAATATTCACTAATTCTCTCGAATACACTGAACATCATTTGACCTCTGCTATTTTTTAAAATCTCCATATTCACTGTAATACTTTCCTCTAGAAATTAATTTGTTATAGTTGTTTGCTGCTTATATTATTCACATAGAGTACCTACCTGAGGAAAAAAAACTAACAAGAAGTGATTTCTTATCTCAGTTGATTTTTAAAAACTCCTTGTACACATTTAAAACAATTACTTTTCCTACTTCATGCAAAAAGGCAGAATAAAGAATATTCTTAAAATGACTTTGCAAGATGTGCTTTATTTTAAGTCAGTCCTGAACCCAAACTACATAGAATCATTTTTTTGACATATTCTAGTCCATTCAATGATTCTTCTCAGAAACTGTATTTTAATATAGAATGAAAACTACATTTCAATCATAAATTTCCATGCTACAATGTTATTTAATGAAGAGGTTGTATTACCAATAACAATAATTTAAGAAAAGGCCTTTTTTTTTTTTTATTTTCCCGAGCTCAATATACATATTTCTTTCATAATTATGAACTTAAAAAAAACCCGTCTCAGATGTAAAAATGTGAATTAGAATGTGTAAACTCTTTGATATACCTGAAAAACAGGAAGGAAAATGTCACATACTGGAAAACCAATGCCTTAAATCACTGAAATGGGAAAAAGCGTGTTGAGGGATGAGGAAGGTAGAAGAGTGCTCATGGCCTCAGTTAATAGAGTAATAAAGTCAAAGTACTCCACCTCACTGGGCAGCGTTTTTGTCTTTCTACTTCATGTCTGTGTTTCACCAGGAGCAGTAACTCTCTGGTGTGGAACAGCCACCACTATTGAAGTGAATCACTTGCAGGGCCCCAACGAAGCCGGTGTCCACATATTTGTTTTGCTGCTTTTTTCTTTTTTTTTTTTTTTTTCTTTTTTCCTGAGAAGTCACTGGTGTTTAATGGAAAAAATTTTTATTCGTCTTCAGTTAAGATAAGGCAGTAAGAGTGTCACTAAGTTATCTTTTTGCTTAGAATGAGGCTTATCCATCCACTGGCATCTTCAAGGGCTGTCGGCGCCCTCTCTCTTTTCCTCCTAGAAATATGTTTAGGAGTTTTCAGTTTCCTATTGCTGTTGCATATTCGGGTTGTGCTGAGCCCATCTATTCTCACAGCAGCTTCGCCGTTGGCAACAGAGTGCTGTGGATTGTATTATAGCATCTCTTCAGGAAGGGCACAGTCCCCACACAGGAAAACATGGCATCTTTCCTTCTTCTCTTTGTTTCTCTGAGAGAGGAGACCCACCAATGATTCTTTCACATAGTCTATCAGAATGCAAGACACTGTTGATTAAAACATAAACCAAGTAGCCCTGATTTCAGAGAAATGGAATTACAAGTAACTTTTTCAACAGTGTCTTAACTTGCAAAAGTAGCTTTACTACAAAAGGTAGTCAACTCCCTTTGGCCACCTGTCAGAAGAAAAATCATTTCCATCTCACTAGAAATGCTTAGCTCTTATGAGAATATTGTGCTTTTTTTTGTTGTTGAAAATTCAAATGTTAACTTGATTTGCAGTCTGTGTTCTAAGGTATCAATTTGTTTTTTCTCTAGTCCACTTGATCATGGTTTCTGGTGAACGGTACAGGAATATTAATTTGGCATAAAGATCTTCCTCTAGTTCCAGTTCCCCTGTCTCTCGAACTAAAAATATATCTGTGCACAACTTCAAAATTCGATCCACATTTGGCAGTTCTTCAAACATGATGGAGTGAGAAATCCCACTGAAGAACTCACGGACAAACTTCCCAATCACAAGGACAACTGAAGCATATAATCCCATGATGCTGAAAAACAAAATTAAGTAGAAATTGTATCTAGTAGTTACATATGGTTAATATAACATGTCTAAAAGAAAAACATAACATTTTTTCTCAAAATCCATAGAAGATATGACAAATAGCAAAGTTTACAGTTTTTCTCTGGTAAAAACATTCATTTTTTTGTGTGTGATAAAAGAGATAATTTATGTTCCTTCTTAAAAAATTATATATTACAGAATTGTGAGACTTGAAAAATAAAAGTCCTTTGAAATATCAGATTTTGGAATTTATCAGTGTTAATAGTTTCATGTATGAACTTCAGGTGATTTTTATCACATATAATACATGTAGAAAACATATAGTGTATTTGGTAGAAATCCAGTTCACCATATATACTTTTTGTACCTAACACCTTTTACTTTAATAATACTGTCTTTCTGAGAGATTCATTTTTATAATAAAACTTTGGATAGACAATGATCTTTGCCCGGCCGGTGTGGCTCAGTGGTTGAGCGTTGACCCACGCAACAAGAGGCTGCTGGTTCCATTCCCTGTCAGGGAACATTCCCAGGTTGTGGGCCAAATCCCCAGTGGGTGGGCGTGCAGGAGGCTGCCAATCAATGTTCTCTCTCATCGATGTTTCTCTCTCTTTCTCCCTCTCCCTTTCTTTCTCCCTAAAATCAATAAAGGGAAAAATTATTTTTTAAAAAGCAGATAAAAAGACAATGATTTTTTAGGAGGTTCATTCTGGAAAATGGAAAACTTTATACTTTCACTTATATGGATGTGTTTGTCCTAGGATTTTAAGCATCAGAATGTGGTTAAAGGGTAATATTGGATTTGTCTAAAACTGTGGTTTCTAATTGATCCTATATCTGCTAAGGCCTAAGGAACTCTAAGCAAAAAAAAGATAATTTTATGCCAATTTCCAAGTTTAAACAGTGAGTTGCATCAAATTGTGCCATAACAGGAAGATGTAGTTACCAAGCCGGACGCACAGCTTCCAGTCCTGTCGTTAACAGTGTGACTCACTTAAGGCATTGCGACTTCTTTTGAACTCTGGTTCCTTATTTTTTAAGATGAAAGGCCAAGGATTTGTGAATTTTAATATTTCAGCTATAATATTGGAGACCTTTAAGAAGATAAATGGCTCCCCATCTTCAACTTTGTGTGATACAGAAGATTCTTTTTTTAAGAACAGAAATGTTTTTTTCCATTTTATTTTTAAATTATAATTTACATTCAATATTATTTTGTATCAGTTTACAGTGTACAGCATAGCGGTTAGCAGAAGCAAACTCTTATAATTGATAATTGTTAAATGGGTCCTTACCCATAGCCAGCCAGGAAGCCCAAACTGGGAGGGCTGACTTTGTCATTGAAGACCACCAACTCTAAGGCCTGGGCATGCTGATTATATAATCTATTTCCAGTCAGATTGAGAACCCACCACTCACTATTAGATTTAGTTGTATCATCTCTGGACAAAATGATGGTGATATTCATGAAATTACTTTCTGGAAGAGAAAAATAAAATTAAGTTGCATGAAAATTTGGGGATTTAATGCACATCAAAAACAGCCTTCAGATGGCCAAACCTGCTTCCTGCCTATAGCATACGATCCCAGGATGTCCATGTGGACATATTACTAATGTAAGTGGAAAAGAAAGGGTGGGCCTTAGGTGTGCATGGTGTTTTTCTCTTCTTTTAATAAAGAGGTCAGTCACTGTTGCCAAATATGCAGGGCAGCCAAATCACAGAGAGAGAGGAGGGAAAGACCAATTACCTGAGCATCTTTGCTGATAATTCCAAGCAACTAATCAGACATTTAAAAACCCAAGTCACTGGCTCTCAATTGAATGGACTGGTTCATTACTGAGTGTCTTCTAAGAAGAGGGCACTCTGTTAGGTGCTAAGGAGTTTCAAAGTTACATACAACATGGGTCCTTATCTCAATGGGAAAAGGGCAAATACAAAAGCACAAGTTATAGGCATATGGCAACCACCATAAGACTTGCGGTGACAAGGTCTGCTAGCTTTAAGAGACCCCTTTTGGTTGGTATGATCCAAGAGGGCTTCCGAGGGGAGATGACTTCTGAGCTGAGTTTTGCTGAATGAGAACTTCAACAGGTAAAGATGTAATGGGGAGAGGAGAACCTTTCAGGAAGGATTGATGGCATAAAACTCTGAAAAATTCTGAAAACGCATAATAAATGGTCAATAATTGCATAGGGTGAACGTAAAAGAATAGTAAAAGATAGGGTAAACAAAAAAATTAGAGTTACATTGAATGCATGTCCTCTGGTGGTCTTTTAAAGAATAGGAACAGGACCTCTATTGATAATAGGGCCTTCCCTGAGAATCATGGTGGCAGACTATAACACTGTGAGGGTAGGAACCATATATGCTTTAGTTTGTGCTAAATTCCTGGATCATAGGAATCTAGGACAATGTATAGCAATACACATCTGTTTGTTGGATGGGTGGATATATGGATGGATGAATAGATGAATGGAAGAAGGGTGAGGAATGGCAGGAGACTGGTAAAGATGAAGTCCTTACCCAGGAAGAATGTGAATCACTCAGAACACTCAGAAATAGGAAGAGCCTTGGTTCTGAAGTCACAATGGTTCTGAGGGAGAAAATCTGTCCCTGGGCCCACAAAGGCCCAAGTTTGGATCTAGTTCCTAATTATACTGCTTGTATAATCTTAGCTGAATACTTCATACCTGAGCCAAGGTGATAACCATCAACATCTGCTAAATATACCTTCTGATCAAGATTAGAGGTCAGAAGAGAAAAAATGGCAGCGGAGTGAATGGAAGCTACACAGACCATCTCCCAGGACCAAACTGGATTTACAACTAAAATAAAGATAAATTGTCAGGAAGGGGAAACCGAAAGACACCTTGGAGGACCACATAACCAGGGACACCGACTCAATCCTGGTAGGCTTGCGAGGACACGAGAGAGGGCCTGGGCTGGGACCAGAGGACTCGGCTGGAAGCTGCTGCCGCCTTGGCTGCATCCTGCTACTGTGGCTGAGCCCTGCGAACTTGGCTGGGTGCTACGCCCTTGGCTGGTGCCACACGGACTCGGCTGGGACCAGGGGACTTGGCTGGAAGCTGCTGCTGCCTCGGCTGTGTCCCACTACAGCGGCTGAGTACTGCGAACTCGGCTGGGTGCTATGCCCTCGGCTGGTGCCGCACGGACTCGGCTGGGACCAGGAGACTCAGCTGGAAGCTGCTGCCGCCTCGGCATCACTGGCAACTGTGGCTGAGTCCTGCAAACTCGGTGGGGTGCTACGCCCTCGGCTGGCGCTGCACAGACTCGGCTGGGACCAGGGGACTCGGCTGAAAGCTGCTGCAGAACTGGCTGTGTCTGGTGACCACGGCTAGGTCCTGTGGCTTCAGCTGACTGCTATGCCCTTAGCTGAGTCCTGCGAACTCGGCTGGGTGCTACACCCTCAGCTGGTGCCACAGCCTCAGCTGCCCTTGGCTGGAAGCAGCACCCTTGGGTTGAAAGTCCCAGGCGGCTCCACAACGCAGAGTCTGGACAGAGGCTAAATTGGCAGCAGCCACTCACCTTGGGCTCTGGCAGAGGGAAGGCAGACTGGACTGGAACTGTGTGGGGACACTCGGGTTTTGGAGGGTGCTCAGAGCTTTTGCTCAGTGCAGCCACGCAGGACTATGGTCACCTTACTCCTTCCCAGGGCCCTGGGGAGAGGCAGGGTGGGGGGCCTACTTCAGAGATTAAACCCCATCTGGTGGCCATTGAAATGCTAATTGAGGCCCATTAACAACCAGCAGCTGCCCCACCCTCAGGAAATCCTCTTACACTGAGCATCTGAGGGAGTTTTCAGGCAACTCAGAAACCAAGGTTCTTCAGGTGACCTCTACTAATAGCCTCCAGGCAAAAAAGCTAGAGGATAACTACCATTCCCTGGGCTAGCAACACTAACCAGGAAAGTTAAGACTTGACAGTGGTGTTTAAAGTGGGTCCTTCCTACCTCATCCAAACACAGGAGAGGGAGCCACAAACAGCAGAACACCAACACCCACAGGGAAAATCTGGCAGACTCCAAAGCCCACTGTGATAGCCCAAATGGTGAAAAACAGAAACAAAAGCCAAATGAAAGAACAAGAGACCTCTACCGTAGATGAGATAAATGAGGTGCAGTTAAGCAAGTTAACAGAACTAGAATTCAGAGCCAATTTTCCCAACACCATTTATTAAAGAGACTGTCCTTACTCCACTGTATGCTCTTGCCACCTTTGTCAAATATTAATTGAGCATATTGCCTTGGGTCCATTTCTGGGTTCTCTGTTCTGTTCCACTGGTCTATATGCCTGTTCTTGTGCCAGTACCAGGCTGTTTTGATTACAGTGGCTTTGTAGTATAACCTGAAATCTAGTAATGTAATCCCTCCAACTTTGTTCTTCCTTTTCAAGATTGCTGTGGCTATTTGATAAACATATATGCACCCATTATAGGAGTACCAAAGTATATTAAAAATCTTCTGGAGGACTTCAAAGGAGAAATCGATAGCAATACAATCATAGCAGGAGACTTCAACACCCTGCTGACATCACTGGATAGATCCTCTAGACAAAAACTTAGCCTGGAAACAGAGACTCTAAATGAAGCATTAGACCAAATGGATTTAATAGATATCTACAGAGAATTACACCCCAAAACTACCAAATTCACATTCTTCTCAAGTTCATATGGGACATTCTCAAAGATAGACCACATGTTAGGGCACAAACTAAGTCTCTACAAGTTCAAGAATAGTGAAATCATATCAACCATATTCTCGGATCACCATGGCATGAAACTAGAAATCAATTGCAAGAAGAACACACAAAGACATTTGAATACATGGAAGCTAAATAGCATGTTATTAAACAATGAATGGGTCACCAAGGACATCAAGGAAGAAATTAAAAACTTCCTGGAAAACAATGAAAATGAAGACACAACAACACAAAATCTATGGGATGCAGCGAAAGCAGTTCTGAGATGGAAGTTCATAGCAAAACAGTCCTACCATAAAAAACAAGAAAAATTTCTAATAGACTTTCTAACCTCACAACTTGAAGAACCAGAGAGCAAACAAAAAGAAAACCCCAGAGCAAGTAGAAGGAAGGAAATAGTAAAGATCAGAGCATAAATAAATGACATAGAGACCAAAAAAACAATTAGAAGGATCCATGAAACAAAGAGCTGGTTTTTCGAATAGATAAACAAGATTGATGGACCCTTAGCTAGACTCACCAAGAAACGAAGAGAGAGATCCTAAATACACAAAATCAGAAATGACAGAGTAGAGATAACAACTGACACCACAGAAATACAAGAGATCATCAACAACTACTATGAACAATTATATGGCAAAAAATTTGACAATCTAAGCCAAATGTACAATTTTCTAGAAACACATAGTCTCCCAAAACTGGACCAGGAAGAGATAGAAAACTTGAACAGGACAATAACACCAAAAGAATTTGAAGATGTAATAAAGACTCTCCCAGCAAACAAAAGCCCAGACTCGGATGGCTTTTCGGGGGAGTTTTACCGAACATTCAAAGAAGAACTAATACCCATTCTCCTCAAACTATTTCAAAAAATTCAAGTAGAAGGAAGACTTCCAAACTCGTTTTATGAAGCCAGTATAATTATAATTCCAAAACCAGAAAAAGACACTACAAAGAAAGAAAACTACAGGCCAATATCCCTGATGAACATAGATGCCAAAATCCTGAACAAAATACTAGCAAATCAGATCCAGCAATACACCAAACAAATTATCCTCCATGACCAAGTGGGATTCAACCCAGGGATGCAAGGCTGGTACAATGTTCGCAAATCAATAAACGTAATACACCACATAAATAAAATGAAGAAGAAAAACCACATGATCATATCAATAGATGTTGAAAAAGCCTTCGACAAAATCCAGCATCCATTTCTGATAAAAACGCTCAGCAATGTGGGAATAGAGGGATCATATCTAGACATAATAAAGGCCTTATATGAAGGACCTACAGCCAACATCATACTTAATGGGCAAAAACTAAAAGCATTTCCCTTAAGAACAGGAACAAGGCAATGATGCCCTCTTATTTAACATAGTACTGGAAGTCTTTGCCACAGCAATCAGACAGGAAGAAAAAATAAAAGGGATCCAAATTGGAAAGGAGGAAGTGATACTGTCATTATTTACAGATGACATGATACACGTAGAAAACCCAAAAGACTCAATCAAAAGTTTACTAGACTTAATAAATGAACTTGGCAAAGTAAAAGGATACAAAATTAACATCAAGAAATCGATGCCATTCCCATTCACCAATGATGAACTCACAGAATAAGAAACTAAGAAAACAATCCTATTTACCATTGCAGCAAAAAAATTAAGATACCTAGGAATAAACTTAACCAAAGAAATAAAGGACCTATTCACAGAAAACTACAGGTCATTGAAAAAGAAATCGGGGTGGATATAAAAAAGTGGAAGCATATACCCTGTTCATGGATTTGGATAATTAACATCATTAAAATGTCCATATTACCCAAAGCAATCTATAGATTCAACGCAACCCCCATCAAAATACCAACGGCATACTTCACAGAATTAGAACAAGTACTTCAGAGTTCATATGGAACCAAAAAAGACCTCAAATAGCCACAGCAATCTTGAAAAGGAAGAACAAAGTTGGAGGGATTACATTACCAGATTTCAGGTTATACTACAAAGCCACTGTAATCAAAACAGCCTGGTACTGGCACAAGAACAGGCATATAGACCAGTGGAACAGAACACAGAACCCAGAAATGGACCCAAGGCAATATGCTCAATTAATATTTGACAAAGGTGGCAAGAGCATACAGTGGAGTAAGGACAGCTACATTCAGAAAAATGAAACTAGACCATCAACTTACACCCTACACAAGAATAAACTCAAAGTGGATAAAAGGCTTAAATGTGACTCATGAATCCATAAAAATCTTAAAAGAAACTGTTGGCAACAAAATTTCAGACATCATACGCAGCAGAATTTTCATTGACACATGACCTAAGGCTATAGAAACAAAGGAGAAAATGAACACATGGGACTACATGAAACTGAAAAGCTTCTGCACTGTGAAAGATACAATCATCAAAACAGAAAGCCTACCCGCTGTATGGGAGAGCATAATTGCCAATGATATATCAGATAAGGGATTAATTTCCAATACATATAGAGTGCTCATACAACTCCACAAAAGGAAGACAAAGAACCCAATTAAAAAATGGGCAGAAGAACTAAATAGACACTTCTCCAAACAGGACATACAAATGGTTAAGAGACATATGAAGAAATGCTCATCATCACTAATAATCAGAGAGAAGTAAATTGAAACAACAATGAGGTATCACTTCACACCTGTCAGAATGGCCGCTTTCAACAAATCATCAAACAACAAGTGTTGGTGAGGGTGTGGAGAAAAGGGGACTCTAAAACACTGCTGGTGGGGATGCAGACTGGTGCAGCCACTATGGACAACAATATGGTGTTACCTCAAAAAATTAAAAATTGAACTTCCATTTGACCCAGTGATCCCACTTCTAGGAATATACCCTATGAAGCCTGAAACACCAATTAGAAAGAATATATGTACTCTCATGTTTGTAGCAGCACTATTTACAATGGCTAAGATCTGGAAACAGCCCAAGTGTCCATCAGTAGACGAATGGATAAAAAAGCAGTGGTACATAATCACAATGGAGTACTACACAGTTGTAAGAAAGAAAGATCTCTTATCCTTTGAGACTACATGGTGGGACCTGGAACGTATCATCCTAAGTGAAACAAGCCAAGCAGAGAAAGACAAGTATCATATGATCTCACTTATTTGTAGAATATAATGAACATAACAGTCTGAGGATTGGAACAGTCCCAGAGATGTGGAAGTGGTGTACAGACTGACAATCCCAAGAGGGAGTGGTGGGGGAGAGATAAACCACAGAACTTATATGCATGTATGCATGAACAGTGGACATGGACAACAAACTGGGGACAGGGCAGGGAGGGAGGAGGAGGGGGGAATCAGTGGGGGGAAAAGGAGAAACATCTGTAACAAAAATTAATTAATAAAAAAAAAATTAGAGGTCAGTTTTGCTCAGCGGTTAGAGCATTGGCCTGCAGACCAAAGGGTCTCAGGTTTGATTCCTGGTCAGGATCACATGTCTGGGTTGTAGGTTCAATTCCCAGCCCTGCTCGGGGTCGAGCAGGAGGCAACCAATTGATGTGTCTCTCTCACGTCAACGTTTCTTTCTCTTTCTTTCTCCCCCTCCCTTCCTTCCTCCTACTCTCTCCAAAAAAAGCAATGGAGAAATATCCTCAGGAGAGGATTAACAAAAAATAAAAATAAATAAAATACATCTTAAAAAAAAAGAGGTGTCTTGATATATACAAAATTAAAAAAAGATTAGAGGTAACCCAGTAAAGCTCATCAGATAAACAGTTGGGTTGCTGTGGGCAGGATCTGAGTACCAAGGCTATGTGGTCTGAGGACATGACTTCAGGCTGAACCTCAGATCACTCCCAGGCAGACAAGTCAGTGTGGGAAAAGGGAAAGAACCTGGAAAAGAAGAGGGGGTAAATGATGCTTCTGGAATGAAGCAGGGAAGGTATAGAGGGCCTGGGGCACGGCGAGAGGCTGAACTTGAAGGAAGTGAGGATATATCTTTCTTTGAGGCTGAAGGGAAGAAAGAAGAAAACAATGAAAATATAAGAAGTTCTTCCAAGGAGCGGAAGGCAGTTGAAGGGGACCCGCTCTGGAAGGCAGCAGTAGGAAAGAGCCTGATGAGGGACAGAGTCCTTTGGGGGACTTCTGATTGTTGAATAAAATCTATACTATCAGACTAAACATTTCTAGAACTAGTCTGGATTAAAAGGGAAATACCAAAGTTCTCAATGTATTTTGCAGTGACCTTGCAAGACATTTGCTGTTGATGAAGGAAAGAATGTAGGTGTGGGATTGGCCAGTGCTTGTGGGCCCTCTATCCTGCCTTTGTGTCTGAGAATTTCCATGGGAGGTTCTAACTGGTCTTTATCTTTCCAGTTAAACAGGAGCCACAGGGAGCCTTATGACAGTGACTATGGCAAATAAATGAACATGAACTGAATATTGCATTGTCCTTCTACCTTACCAGATATATACAGTTACTCTGGTTCAGGTAATTGATTATGTCAAATAATGCTTGATTATTAAAAGAACATCAGTTCACTCCCATCCCAGTTGTATGGGGAAAACACAGTTTCTCAAGCACTACCATTGATATTTAATCACCTGTGGGCTGAATCAAGTACAGTTCTTGCTATATTTTCATTGCTCTTATTGTGGGGCCTTCATATTTAACACTTCATGAGGCAGTTTTCTGCCACAGATATGGTTGCTAATAGAAACAAGTAAACAGACTGACTAAGAAGTACCATAAGTCATTAAATGTGAACTTCAGTCAATCAGGTTCTATATCAATAACATAAGAAAATGGAGAACATGGCTCATAGGTAATGAATGATTCCTGATTAGTGAACATAAGGCTAAGAGCCTTATGCTTTTGGCAAGGGAAAGAAAACTGGAAAGTAGCTTGATAAAGGCTGAAAAATGCAAACTATAGATGTTAAATAGAAGAAGGATTAAAAAGAATTCTAAATGATTCCTTCTCATTCTTACCAGATAAAAGTTGCTTTATAGGTTTGGAGTTAGAATCACTAGGTGCTTTCACATAATATGGGTAGATCTTTTCAATAGTCCTGTGCATTAGGGGGAAAAAAAAGAAGTAATTGAGTTTTAGTTGTTTTACCCACATAAAATTTATTTTTTGTTGCTATTTTGACCTTATATCAAACGAACAATGGCAAGAGTCTTTATATGTCTATACAATGTGTAGTCATCATAATTTATAGGTTTCCATTATAATCAGAATTCTTTGAGGCCAAAAAAAAAAATCACCAGGTTCTATTCAAATACTCATGTAAATGCTATACACAAGCTTCAAAACTGCTACAGAGATTTCCCCATACCTGTTACTGTTTCTGAAGCAAAGGGCTGTCTTTCTTGCTAGTAGCTTATCATTTGTATCAATAACACTGAGCACTCTTTTAATTTTAATTTTTAGGATTTTGAAAATATCTCTAATCAAGTGGACTGCATTTGATCTAGTGATAAGAGTGAGGTGTGAGGAGACAACTGGTGACCTGAACCTCATCCTACCTTTGCAGAGATGAGCTGGGTCACCTGAGGAGGTTATTCTATGATTCTAAACCTGTTTTTGCATCTGGGAAATGATGAGGAGGATTTTACAATCTTCAAGGGCCCTTCTACTTTAGGGATTAACAAAGAATATTTTAGTCAGAAATATGTCTGAGTGCTGCATCATGGTGGTTCTTACATTCAGTGCATAAAATTGGGTCCAGGGCAGACGCGACGACAGAACTAGGACATGGCTGGTGGACATCTGAAACACTTCATTCAGTAGTTTTAGATCAACAGCACATTTTTTTCCTTCCTAGTACTTATATTAGAATCTAAGCACCTTTTTCTCTTGCTAGTTCTTACATTAGAATCTAAACATTACAGCTTGGATGCATTTGAAATGTAGTATTTATATGGCAGATAATATGTTAAGATAGAATTTCTCCCTCGAATTTCTGTTTATCTTTTGTCTACTCCCCCGCTCCCAGTTCATTGGCTAGGCATTCAGTGACCCTATGGCAGGTCAAAGGAAAGGGGTCTTGCAGAGTCTTTCCCTGGCTTTTGGTGATTAGGGTAATATAACAACAAGGTTTGCTACTCAGAAATGACAGCAATACTCCCTGGCTATGTGGACAGAGTGAGAGGGAAGAGAATAGAGTTGCTTTAATCTAGCACAATGAGGCCTCCAAATAGAAAGTCACTTGAGTTAACAAAGAATGACAAAAGTTGCATTTCTTGCACATGATGAATTCGTAGGTAGAGATGCTATATCAGATACATATACCTACTAAAGCTATATTAACAGGAACAATCAACTTACACTGGTGTTGTTGAACTTTCTGTGTCATTGCCAGCTATCATTTTAGCTATATTCTTTCGTGTACTATTATCAAGTTTAAAAGAAAGCTTATCTGTTGCTATTTCTGCTTTTGCACCCAGACTCATGTTTCTGTGAAGAAAAAAAAAGCCAGTGTCAATGATTATTCAGAAATCTGGAAGAGAAATTAAAAACTCAGTTGACTCTTAATCTTATTAATCTCACCCAGGTTTTACTGGGTCCAAAACTGTCAACCCCACCCCTTTCTATCCACCTCACCTTTTTGTCCAGTTTCTTAGACAACCGAGTTAGTAAACCCCAGGGAGGCCACAAGCACCTTTGAAACAGATGACAGGTGAGGAGGCACAGTCTGCTGACCGAAAGAGAAACTATTCTGCTGCTCTGAAATGAATTTCCCAAACTCTCTTTATGTTAATCCAATGAAGCTGGTCTTCATGGTGACTAATAGAACCCACATTTTTAAAAGAATGCTCGATCAGAAGTTGATCCTTAATGTTGTTGTTATTTTTTGGTAGCTTTTCAAAGAAAGGCTAAGAAGTAAAGTTTTTGGCAGTACAGAATTCCATGTGAGGAATTTGGGACATTAAAAATAGAGAAAATAAGATTAAAGAAATTCTTTTAAATTCTGAACTGCCTCCTTTGAAATATTTCTTTACTATTTCCTTATGAATTCACTTTAGATTCTAAAAGGCTTTCTTCTGTATCTCACATAGGTCTTTTTTACTTTCAACCAAAAAGTTGGAAATGTGGACCCAAATGAAGCTAAAACTTGGCTGAGAAATAAACTTGTGTAGAGTTCTGAGTCACAACCGTGATGAAAGAAACTGAATTAATCTGCTGGTATATTGTGCCCAGGCCTCGGAACTGCTTCTCTAACATGTTGGGCTTTGGGATGTCTCTCCTAAGACATGCTCTGTCTACACAAGTGAAAGCACCACATGGTAGTCATTGGCTCAGGTCTGGTGAAGAGTAATTTCCTCAGCTCTCCCATCCTGGGTCTACCAAGCTGCTCTCACACCTCATGCTTAGATAAAAAGATGTGTTAGGGTTCCCCGGATGTTGGAGAGATGCAAGTCAGAAACTGGGGTTCCAGAGGCTGCACATTCTTTATTATTAAGACCAAATTTTCCATGAAAGAAGGTAAAATGATTAAGCCACAAGCATATGTAAAAACACATGGACACAGACAACAGTGTGGTGACAGCCAGAGGGAAAAGGAGGTAGGGGATAGACGGAGACTGAAAGAGACTTTGCTTGGGGTGATGGGCGCACAACACAGTGTGCAGATGATGTTTTATTGAGTTTTTCACTGGCAACCTGTATGGTTTTGCAAACCAATGTCACCCTAATAAACTTGACAAAACAAAAAAGAAACAACATCTTTAAAAAAAAGACCAAACTTCAACCTTTCAGGGAAATCTTACATTACACCCAGGCTCTGTTTCATTTTATGAGTCATCACCCTCTTTTCTCTCTACCTCTCTCTCTTGCACACAGAACTCATTGCCAGCTTCTCTTTGAAATGGAACTTAGTCCTGGCCAAGTGGCTCAATTGGTTGGAGCATTGTCCTGTACACCAAAAGGATACAGGTTTGATTCCTGGTCAGGGCACAAACCTAGGTTGCAGGTTTGATTTGCAGTCAGGGCATGTATAGGAGGCAAATGATTGCGGTTTCTCTCTTTCTCTTCATTTCTCTCTCTCTAAAAATCAATACAGCCCTGGCCAGTTTGACTCAGCAATTGGAGCATCAACCTGCGGACCAGAGAGTCCTGGGTTCGGTTTCCGCTAGGAGCATGTACCAAACAAACAAACAAACAAACAAACAAAAAAACAATACAAATATATCCATGAGTGATAATCAGAAAAAAAAACACGGAACTTAACAGAAAAAAGGAAAAGTTAGAAGTCCTTATTTTGTCAATGATTCCCAGGCAAACCATTATTTAATCAACAAAAATGTTACTTGTAGCATTAAATGAATGTTCCAAAGGTATAATGTGAATTAAGATCCACATTTATTTAATTTTTCTATCTTTTTATGCCCCCCATCCCACCCCAAGTTTATATTGGGGAAAAGGGGAAATTATGCATGGAAATACAGTAACTACCTCTGAATACTCCATGAAAAAACAACAGAGAAGCTACTATTGGGGTCCATGAGTTCGTGTATCATTTTCTGCTTACTGGGAGGGCTGATGGTCCATAAAGAATTTGAGTTTCCTTCCAGTTCTGCTACTGTTATGTCTTCTTTTTCATAATTTTCCAGAAATTGCATAGCACCCTGTATGCACACAAATACACATGCATAAATAGATCACATACACAATGATGTATAGAAAGTTATTTAACTGACAGTATAGAGAGACTTTTCCTTTGAAAGAAAAATTTCTATGTAGATTATTTTGGTGTTCCATTACACTAATTTTATTCCCCTCCCAGGGATATCAGCAGGGGTGATGCTGCCACACCAGCACAGCTATGGAATCACTCTAGTTAAACAGTAACAGAAAATCAGATGATTAATTTTTTTTTCTTCTCACTAAGAGGAAAATTGATCAACTATTGGGAAACTTCATTTTTCTCTCTCTAAAAATCCTTCTCATAAGAGAGTCAAATTTCATCTACCCAGGACATGCTGGTCCTGTCCTCACAACTGTTCATCCCTCAAGACTGGTTTTGACAGTGTGCATTATAGACCAATAATTATACAAAAGAAAAAAGCCTGTTTGCCTAATATTTATAAAGCAAATTTTAATTATAAAAAATCATGTTATAATATTTATTAAAAGTTGGAATGTAGAGAGAAGAATAACATGAATCACAACTCTTCCAGAACATTATCGTTGTCGTATGCAGAAGAGAATGTATATCTCATTTCTTATCATTAAGAAGAAAATTCTACATTCTTTTTCATTTATGTTTTAGCTTGAGAATTTGTCATGCCATGTATATATCCTTGTAATGATTATTTTTTATTACAAAAGAAGTTGCTTGTAAAATATTCAGATAACATAGTATGTAAAAATATATATATAAAGTGGAAGCCCCCTTCTTCTACTACAACCACCATAGGGAAGCCAGTGCTAATCAAATTCACAAATACACATGCCGTGATTTATTCAAACAGTCCCTACTTATTGAATTCTCAAGTTGCTTCCAGTTTTTACTAACACAGGAAACCAACAGAGTGTTTTTCCCATATTTTGAATTATTTTAGGATAGATTCCCAGAGCAGACCTACCAGTCAAAATAATTAATATTTACCAAAATTTTAAAACTTAAAATTTTTAAAAAGGATCAACTCCTGTTGAGCTTACGTTGAAAATTTCTCACATAAAATTATGTTTATTAACACATCCAATAATATAGACATAATGTCTTAGATTATCAAAGCAGCCAGTGGCTAGGAACCCACTGTGTACAACTGATAATCTCTCATAAGCCCCCAACCCTAGGCCATGGCAAAGCAGTGAATAAATGACAATCACTCAGCTCACCTAGATGAAAGGTCTTCATAGAGATCTATTATACACATTTACTTACAGTGTCCTTAGAGAAAGCTTTCAAAAAGTTATTAAACTTTGTTGAGTCCATAACTTTTAGCTGGCTTTGCTGGGCACTCATTGTGAAAATAGGCTGGAAAATAAGATACACAGTGTTGTTAATATTCTGAAGTTCTTCTCTGTATCCAGGCTAAAGGAAAAATATTTTCATAGTATGTCACCTACTAGTCACCCAGTGGCAACTAGTCTCAAAGAGTCTTTTTAAAGTGATTATTTTTACACTCAAAACCAAACAGAACCTTCCTTTCCCTGCCTTCTGCACCTTATTTCAAACATCACATATTTGCTGAGATGTAAAAATGTAGATAGGAAGTATAGATTGGCAAAACCTAACTAAAAGTCCTGGAGATGGTTATCAGGAAAGAGTACTGCACGAGGTAGGGTACTTGCAGGCGAGTGGGACCTGGAGGAAGTGCACAGCGATTACCTGGTAACCTCCCAGGGTAATTGTGACCGAGACATCCAGGGGCTGGTTGATCACCCCAGCGACAGATTTGATCAAAGACATGAAGAGAAGGGGAAACCAGACAATACAGATGAGCAGAACGATGATCATGCCTCCCATGCCATACTTCACCACTTTCTTCTTCTTTTGTCCCCGCGGCTGAGGGTATCTCTGCAACAGAAGAGTGTATGCAAGGCTCAGGCCACTGCCCTGAGAAGTGGGTGGGGTGGAGTACTCTTCTTATGGGATTGTGACTTCAGTTAGTCCTGATTCTGTTCTGTTTGCTCTGAAGTGGGACACAAACCTGGGAACAAAGTTAGGTAGTGACATGAAGATATAATGAGCTCCCTACATGTTTCCACCATGGTGCCACAAGGGACCAACAGGCCTGAGTGACTTTTTCCTTAAATTTGTTGTATGGGTTTTGTTGACATTGAACCTAAGGACAAACAGATTAAATACTGTGATGAATAAAGCCTTTGGTTTTATGTGATCATGTGGGAGAAAGACATTTTACTTTAATTCCTAAGTATTCAAAAGCTGTGCCTTTCAACTGAACCTTCCTGCCCCCTTAGTAAGTGGAAAAACATTTTTCACTTAATTCATCACACATATTGTCAAAACAATGTTGCTTAAGTCAGGCAGTAAGATATGTAGAATCAAACCAGCCCTCTCTCAGTGTTGTGACTCTGCAGGGACCCTTACTTGGGTGCTATGCTTGGGCGGGGGGTAGGTTGTGTGTGTCATATGAGGGACTTGCTCCTATAGAAGAGCAGTGCACCTAGTAGGGCTGAAATCACTTCCATTCGTGTTACTAAGGACCCACTAAGCTCTGCCTTAGAGGCTATGGGCAAGGTGGAAGAAGCCAGCTTTGCTGTTAGATAAACTGCTCCAGCTTTATATGTATTTTCCTTGCTTAAATGTTGCTTCTCAGTGACCCATTTCCTTCCAGGGTGACCCTTGAAATTAGGCTACCCATATAATGTGGCAGTCGTCCCCCTTCCCCTGGGGCTCACACTCTGTTCGATTTGTTCATTTTAGTAGATTAAAGTAAAAAACAACAACAACAAAAAACCCCAACAATCTACATTCTACCTATAGCCACTGAGCTCTGCATTATAAATGAAGAGAGAACTCCAGACGCCAGCAGAGACTTCTGTGAGGACTTTAAAGAACACTGCTGGATTTTAAAAGGCTCTATAAGCTTTGACACTCTGTCTCCTGAATATGGATTTGGAAACAGGAAGACACAGCTGGCTTGGAGGGCAGATCAGAGCCAGTATAGAAGGCATTATTTATTCAGTGCACAAAAGATAATGCTTCTAAATGACTCTGCTGTGAAATTGCATGAGGTTCATATTAAGGACAGTATTTTGTTGCTTAAAATGTTCTATTTCAAAAGAAAAACTGGAATATTTGAAACTTAAAATACATGTTCACACACACAGATTTGCTTTTTTATTACTTTCTCAGTGAGGCAAGTTCAGACACTGGGCCACTTAACCTACTCCAACAGCACTCTAGTACTACATACTGAAGAGTTTCATATCAACTGAGTCTCTTCTGTCTGTAGTGGGACCATGTTGGTTCCTGTCCTGAAGGCCAGAGTCTTTGAGGCTCACCTCAAAAGCTCCCAGAGCCACACATTCATCCTCTCCCTTCTCCTGTTCACCCCTCCATGCATTTCCCAGGGCAGAACAGGGCCAAGACCTTTGGTGTCTCTCTAATTATGAGGCTGTCTTTCCCTTCACTTTCATAGCAACTGCCACCTTCTTGTCCTACGCTGCTCTATCACCCCTTTCTAGGGGAGCCCCTCTCAACCACATTCCCAGTTTGCAGTTCCTGTTGTGCTGCATTTCCAAACAGCTTCTCAAAGTGTTTTGGGGAGTGGCTGCATGGAAATCATTGTAAAAAATGACTAGGAGTGAGTGGCCTGTGTTGTGTGTGCTCATGCCAACACTGGCCTTTCAGGAAATCGTTGTTTCTTCATAAAGTGCATTCATAAACACCAGGAACTTATTACATTCAATATGGAATAATCCCCAACAAAAGTTACTTTAAAAGAAGCTTACTCTTTTGCTTTATACTAGAAAAGTGATCGTCACTGGTAATGTTTCAGTCTCTTAGTGAGGAAGTAGAAACTAGTGTCAGATTTGTCTAGACTCCTTAATACTTACCCCCTACATAACTATATTTCTCAGGATTGTTTTACCATGTATGACATAAATAGCCATAGACTTAACGTAAGATAAAAGCATATATTTAAGTAAAGGTGATACATTAAAATGAGGCTTTTATTTCTTTTTTAAAATTTAATTTACTGGGATGACATTAGTTAATAAAATTATATAGGTTTCAGGTGTACAATTCTATAATATATCATCTGTATATCATATTGTATGTTCACCACCTCAAGTCAAGTCCCGTTCCATCACCATTTATCCTCTCTCTACCCTGTTCTACCTCCCGCAACCCCCTGTCCCTCTGGTAATAACTATACTGTTGTCGTCTACGAGTTTTTGTTGTTGGTTTTTTTTTTTGCTTAATCTCTTCACCTTTTTTGCCCAGGCCCCCAACCCCCTTCCTCTCTGACAGCTGCCAGTCTCTTCTCTGGATCTATGAGTTTGTTTCCATTTTGTTTGTTTTATTCATTAGATTCCACATACGAGTGAAATCATATTGTACTTGTCTTTCTCTGTCTGGCTTATTTCACTTAGCATATTACTCTCCAGGTCCATTTATGCTATCGCAAAAAGTAAGAAGAAGTTCCTTCTTTTTTATGGTTGAGTAATATTCCACTGTGTAAATGCACCATAGCTTTTTTATCCACTTATGTACTGATGGGCACTTGGGCTGCTTCCAAATCTTAGCCATTGTAAATAACACTGCAATGAACATATGGCTGCATATATTCTTTTGAATTAGTGTTTAGGGTTTCTTTGGATATATTCTCAGAAGTCTAATTGCTGGGTGAAGCTTTTATTTCTTAAAGATAAAATAAAAGTCATAAAAGGATAATTTCAAGTCTTTTGTTGTACAGAACTGCCTAGTGTTCTGGGCCACAATGACCCTGTCCTTTATAAGAAGGATGGCAATGAGTGTGACTGTTTGACTACATCCTCAAGAAGGTTGTCACCTGTTGGCTCAAAGGCAGTAAAAAACATATAAGTTGATAAACAGAGAAGCCACAGTTGTTCACATGAAAGGTGGCCCTGTATCTATGTGGGACAGTTATGTGAATTCTGATGCAGAAAAACACCCCTCTTAAGAGACCCTCTCTAATTCATCCAGAGAAAACAATATCTCACAATTTCTGGGGCCCTTTGGGCAGGCTTCAAGACTTTGAAATGCTATCTCTCTAGCTCTCAATAGATGAACTCATCTTTGTTCATGGAGAACACAGGGTATTGGGCGTGAGTTTGTTCATTTACTGTCTCTATTTCTCCAGCTTTCTGTAGGATGGCCATTCCTCTTTGCCACTACCAACTTGTTCATCCATGCCTCAGAGGCTACTCTTTCTAGACCTCCATTTGGACCTTCCTCCTTTGGCTCTGATGCTAGGAATTTGTACTTTTCTTTTTTTCTGCTGGTCCTTTCCTTACCATCTGAAGAGGTTCAGATCCTCTGCATTCTGAAATGACCCTCTAGTCTCTCTCTTGAACTGACTCTCTCCCTTGTCTTTCCTTTGCTCAGTCCCTTGAAATGGCAGAGACAGGACTGATCCCAGGCCAGACCATCCTGTAGTCCCCACTCAAATACAAACCTACAGACTTGTGAGCAGATAAAATGGTAGTGACTTCTAAACCATTAAGTTTTGAGTAGTTTGTTATTAGCAATAGACAACTGATATAATACCAATTGAATGAATGGCTCCAGGAGGTAGACCTAGCATTTCCTAGCACAGAGGTTTTGCACTGTAAATTCTCCCCGTGTGACTCCATGTGTATGTGGACACCTCTCAGGGGCCACCCTGTAAAGCAGCTAATCTGTGATTGGTAGAAAGAACTTAATGTTCCACTAAAACTTACTGGAGATTTTGCCTACTTTTCTTAATACTGTTTTTTTTTTTTTTTATCTTATAAATTAATTAAAAATTTTAATCTATCTTCCATATTTCAAATAGTTTGCCTCCCCCATTTTTTTTTTCTTACTTCAGACTAAATAATTCTTGGTTCTTCCTCCCCCCCCCTTTTTTTTTCATATGACATTATTTCCAGACCTTTTGTCACCCTGATTTCTACCTTCAATGTCACTTTGGTAGATTGGCTCCCATATTCTGTCATTATATCAACTGTTTTGCACCTTAAAACTAAGAAAACACTAATATAATTTTAAGTATACTGCTAGCCCCATCTCCTTCACTCCACAAATGTGATAAATAGAGAGGCCACAGTACAATGGGCCCCACGACTATAAAGCTAAACTACAGAATACAGAAATTACATGGACTAGAGGGGACCTTTCCAAAGAGATGAGAAAAAAAAGACATTTCACACCACCTGGGCTAATGTTGCTTGAGTATTTCTATTGCTATTATACAATAGGTTTCTGTTTCATATGTTAAACTTGAGCATCTGATAAATAATTGTAATTCTAGCCTTCACGAGTGTCAGTGGTTAGGGTGTCGGCTTGTACACAGATTGGTTGTGGGTTCAATTCCCGGTCAAGGGCACATACCTGGGTTGCAGGTTTGCTCCCTAGCCCAGTAGGGGTATATGTGGGAGGCAATCAATCGATGTGTTTCTCTCACATTGATGTTTCACTCACTCTCTCTCTCTTTCCCTCTCCCCTCCCCTTCCACTCTCTCTCTCTAAAAAAAAAAAAAAAAAAAAAAATCAATAGAAAAAAATATCTTCCAGTGAGGAGTAACAAAAAAATAAAAATAAAAATAATTATAATTTGTTTGGCCACGATGGCTCAGTGGATTGAGCTTTATCCCATGCACCAAGAGGTCACCAGTTTGATTCCCAGTCAGGGCACATGCTCAGGTTTCCAGCCCGATCCCTAGTAGGGGGTGTGCAGGAGGCAGCTGATCAATGTTTCTTTCTCATCAGTGTTTCTGTTTCTCTCTCCCTTTCTCTCTCTGTCAAATCAATAAAACATATTAAAAAAAAATAACTGTAATTCTATCCATATTTGACCTTAATATTGCACCTGGCAGAATAATCAAGTATTTGCTCTTCAATTTCCTTTGCACAAAGCAGTTGCAGTGTCTGTCTCTCATCAAAGAGGACATCAGGTGGTGAGCCAGAGTCCAAGCCAGCTGACCCCACTTTTCTCCACCATAGCAAATTTCCTCCTGTTCCCAAATGAGCCATTTAAGAATTATTGAGTCACACAGCAATATATCATTTCTTCTTTTAAAAATAACTACAATACACAGTTGCCAAAAGAAGAACACATCTGGATGCTATTGTTAAGGCAGCGGTGTGCCCAAAATTCCCAACCCTATAAATGTCCTATTGTATAGGTCCTAGCAGTTTTTGCCCATCTCCATTTATTTGGCCACAAAACTTGTAGAAATTCACATTAATCTTATATCCAGTCTGTATTTAAGAGAAACAAATAGGGATAAAGCATTTTTATTGGCTTACTTTTTCTGACTCCCGCCAACACTTCAGGATGAATATGTGAGCATAGATGTCCTCCACACAGATCCAGCTGGAAAGGCTCAAGGTAGTGTCTGTCCATACCCAGTCCATCACGGCCCTTAGCTCAGTCAAAAATGGAACGAGGCGGAACCTGGCAGAAACCACGTCTTATTAGAGAGATAGTTCTGGGATGGCCCCCAAAATCCAGCCAACCCAGGGAGCTCATGTAGTTCCTTATTGTTTTAGCCCTTAAGTCTTAGAAAAAAATCTTAAGGTCACCTTTATGGTAAAATCCAACTTGGAATATGACTGCTTTTTTTTTTTATCTAATTTTTTTTTTTCTTTACTGATATTAGAGAGAGAGGAATGGAGAGGGAGAGAGAAATGGAAACATCGATGAGAGAGAACATCGATCGGCCACCACCTACCTGCTGTCCACTGGGGATTTGGTCCACAATTTGGGCATGTGCCCTGACCAGGAATAGAATTAGTGACCTCTTGGTGCATGGGTCGATACTCAACCACTGAGCCACACAGGCTGGGCTGACTGCTTTTCATTGTAAGTATAATAAATGAATTGGTATTTTCCATTCCTTTTTGGGGGGAGGGGCTGATGGCCTTAACAAACTGGGATTCCCTGTTTAAATGTTTAAAGGTGTCTTCTTCAATTTCTTTATAAAAAAATTATACAAGTCTTTCTCTTTTTTGGTTAAATTTATTTCTAAGTATTTTATTGTTTTGGATGCTATTATAAATGGGAGAGTTTTTCTTTTTTTTTTTTTCAGATGTTTAGTTGTTAGTATATAGAAACACAACTGATTTATGTATGTTGATTTTATTTCCTGCGACTTTCCTGAGTTCATTGATTAGTTCTAAAGTTTTTTGGGATGAGTCTTCAGAATTTTCTATATACAAAATCATATCATCTTCAAATAACCACAATTTAGCTTTATAAACATTTATTTGCTCATTACAAGAATCTGTTGGTCATATGGTTATTGAATTGTTGGGGTTTTGCTGTTAAATGAGCTGGGAAATACAATACATCTGGTAAGTGAAAAATCAGGGCAAAGGAGAGCCATCAGAGGAAACAGGACATGTCATTGGGGGCACACAGTAGGCACCACAGTTGGTAGACTTACTAGATGTCTAAGGTTAGCAGGACTCTAGCTTAGTCTTTTATATTTCAATTGGGAATTGGCTGGCCTGGGTTTCTCTCAAATTTGGGGACTATTCCTTGTTTCTGGACTGACACAGAGCTTCTTCCAGGTTGGAGGATCTGGGTTTATCCCAGGGCCCTCACAACATCTTGGGTTACTTCTTGGAATTCTCCAGTGGGCTACCCATCTTTGTCAAGAGAGCACTAATTAAACCCATAGAAAAAATACTAGGCCCCCACACAGGATGGCACTAAGGAAACACTGTTCCACACAGGGAGCTTCATAACATCTGAGCATGTTCAATATCTCTTCTATGAATAAGTCCCCAATCCCTCAGTCTGGTGCTAAGTAGGAGTCAGCCATACCAGGAGCAGATTGACTTTTTATGTCATGGTCTAATTTCTGAGGGGACAGAGAGAAAATGCTACCAGTGAAATTCTCACATAGAAGAGTTGTATGCTTTCTTCAACAGCTAACTTACTACCAGGAATACACTAGTCACATGGCATTCCCATTGATGTTAGGGGGAACAAATGGATCTATTCAATGAATGGACTTATTGAACATGCAAAATTCCAGAGGTATTTTGGAATAGTCTAGGTTCCAAATATTCTGTTCCACTGTACCTAGAAGTATATTAATACTTAAGGATCATATATCCTAAAATATTATCATGGTAATTACGCAGAATATGGAAAAAGAAAATTAACAAATGTGGATGATCCTAGAACAACATCCTGGCAGGATGTGTGGCAACTACACATAGAAAATCATTTGAAGAAGCACATCTATTCTTTTGCTAAACGTAAGAGTTCCATAATGATCTACATTCCTGTATATCAGCATTTTTTCTCCTGTTTCTTCCCAGGCAGGAAATAAAATGCCTTTCAATTGCCAGCCTTCCCTTTGTGAGTGACTATGACAACAGAGTGTGTCCTTACCCTTGAAACAAGAAGAGGTTGACATAATTGTAGCTCTTTGTGAGGAAGTTTCCAAGGACTCTTGTTGGGTAGCCACAACGGATTTGGTAGGCAGACAACCCAAAGTAAACACATTTCACAAAGTACCACAGCTGAGCAACCAGGTTTTGGCTGAATTTCCTAAAATGTAAAAATCCAGAAAAGTGAGAAAATGGAATACTGTTCTGGTAAAAGGGTACCATTAGGATTTAAAAAAAAAAGCATAATTGCCCCTCTAGCATCTAAGTCAATTCAGTCAATTCTAAGTAATTCACTATACATAGTTGATCACTTCAAAGGCAAAAGGTAGGGGAATAAAAGTTAATAATTAAAAAAATCCTATGAATGGTACCTCTAAAATATCAGTGCATTAATCAGTTGTTTAAGTCATAATTAAAATAAATTTACTAATAACATTGTCTCACAATGTGTATGCTGCTGCTACCCTGGCCAAAATAAAAGCTCAACAAAGAAAACAAGCAAAATGTATAACCATAGTTTGTAAAGTTCATGAATGTTAGCATATGTTTAAGCAAAAACAGTGGAACTAAATTTCACACTAGAAAATAACTTGGAACACATTTTCAAGGAATGATGAGCTATAGAACCTTTCTTTCTTTTCTTTTTTTTTTTTTTTTTTACTTTGGATAAATGCAGCATTCTTCAAGAGTCTTATATATGGCCAGTACAGATTTTTAAAAGAAAATAAGATATTAAACTGACTTTGCAATACCCAGGTATAATCTTCCCTGGGCTTAAATTAAGAGAAATATTTGATTAAAAATAAAATAAAAGCAGTATACTACTCTTAATATTGCATTTTGGATTTTTATTAACTTTTAATTTTGTTATTAGAAAAACCATGTATTATTTTAAAATTAGAAATAGTTATTCTTTAGTTGGCAATATCTAACAACAAGCCAGGAATGCACTGACCTATGTATTTGGGGGACCTAAGGGCTTCTATATAGATCTCAACAACTAGAGAATTCAAAAAATATTGCTTATAATTGTCCCCCTATAGAAAAGTCTAGTTTTGGTATTTCAGAACCTAATGAATTAATTTAACTGTATTTGACCATGACCTAGCACTTGACAAGTTATCAATAAAAATATCAGATGCTTTACAGAGATCTCATATCAACTATTCATTTCCTCATTCTTTCTAGAAACTGTCTTTATTGATAGGCTATTCAGAGAGAATGTTCTTTTAGATCTCCAGGGAAATGCCCTTTAATTTTACAGGTAATTTATAAGAAATTGGCATGGAAAAATTATTCCATATCTATCAAAATTATAGTCCAAGACATAAAACTGCAACACCTTCTATTCCTTATGAAAGGCCCAATCCATGTTTTACCCATTACAAAATGTTTCCCTCCTTCAACCTTAAAGTGTGTTGGCTAGGAATAAGTAACAGTTAATCTGTAGTTCCTGAAGTAATCAAGTTAAGTCTAACTAGAGATATTAAAGCTGTCTTACACTGGAAGATTTCTTTGGTTGTCTCTATACATGTTTTATTGCTAGAGGCTAGAGTAATCTCTAGGTCTCCCACAGCACCTACTGCACAGTGCTTTGTAGACTGCAGGCAACCCCTGAATGTTTGTGGGCTAAATAATAACACATACATAAAGAAAGCCATTTATCAGATTAATTATTCAAGATATTGGAGGTTCCTGATGCTCAATACTATGACTGGTAGCCATAATTTTCATCTGTATAGCTTAAAAGACTCATAACCTATTTCTTCCTTTATTCTTTTTTTTTTTTTTTTTTTTTGGTTTGTTTTGAAAAGAACTTAGACAATGTGCCTATTAATAAATGTTTTCTTTGCACAGTAATGAATTAATTTTTCAAAAACAACATTTGAAGGAGAAAAAATGAATTTTGGATGTTAAGTAATGGCAGGATTTGAAATGTCAAGAAATTATGTTATCACTGATATGCTAACAATGAAGACCAAAGGTTCACCGATCCTAATAAATCTTGAATTAAATATCCAAAAATAAACACAGGATAATCTGTTGCAGTAGGAAAGGCCACTAGGTAAGGCTCAAAGGTAAGATCCAACAGAAAAATGGTCTCTATGGTCATAGTTTTAATGATTATCATAATGTCATGAGCCCAGGGAACCCATTTTGAGGGTCTTACCACATGGGGATGAGTCCATGCTCTACCCATGTTGGTGTCATGCCCCCTTTCACCTGGTCTACTGCTCTGGACACAGTAGGTGCTCAATAAATGTGAAACTGAATTGAATATGCCTACTTGTAAGTCACCACAGGAGAAGCTTTCATTCATTGAGTCATTATATCAAACATTTTGGCTATATTTGGTTTGGAAGGTGTTGTTGCCATGCTGTTACTTTCTTCAAAAGCTTAGTCGAACAGCGTGGGAGACAGAATGGCACCCCAGCAAACATGTGCATGTTCTAATACCCAGAAACTATGAATAAAGAGGATTTTGCAGATGGGATTAAGTTAAGAACCTTGAGAGGAGGAGAGTATCCCCAATTATTCAGTTGGGCCCAATCTAATAAATGAATCCTTAAGAGAGAAACTTTTTCAGTTGTGATCAAAGGGAGATTTGACAACAGAATAGGGGTGAGAGAGATTCGATGAGAAAAAAGATATGACCCTTTATTGCTGGTTTTGAAGATGGAGAAAGGGGCCATGAGCCAAGGATGTGGGAACCTATAGAAGCTGGAAAGGCAAGGAAGTGGCTTCTTCCCTCAAGCCTTTAGAAAGAAATGCCGTCTGGCAAAAACCTTGATTTGAGTCAAGTGAGACCTGTGTTGAACTCCTGACCTACAAAAATAAACGATCAATTTGTGTTGTTTTAAGCCCCAAGGGTGTGGTCATTTGTTCCTGTAGCAACAGCAAACTAATACAGGCAGGAGCAATTAAATTATTTGGTGATATGATCCTGCTAAAAGTGGATCTCTGCGGCTTCACCAGTGCTCGATTTCTGAAGCCCTGGTCTCTGTGGAGACTACCTTGTAAGGACGTAACAGACATCGTGCTCTGAGGCTCTGGGGCTCTCTTTTGGGATTGGAATAGTCAAATCCTTTTACACTGCACAATGAAATAGTAGGCTATGTTACTTTAAAAGATCTGCTTGGAAGCAAGTATGAGATGCCTTCCATGAGGGAAGGATTGTGGTATACAGTAGGTGCAATACACAATAGGGCCAAGAAGCCTGGGATCTGGTCCTACCAATAGTTAGCTGAATGACTTTGGGGAAATTAATCTTACGTATAGGTTTCATCTATCCTAATCCGCAAAATTAGACTGTAGGTCTAGAAAGTGTTTAAAGGTCTTTTTCCTCCTATAAAAATAAGAATTTCTATGAGGTCTGGTAGAGGATACCTGTTTAATGCTTTCATTTATTTTATTTATTTATTTATTTGTTTGTTTGTTTGTTTGTTTATTTATTTATTTATTTTTATCCTCATCCGAGGACATTTTTGCATTAATCTTCAGATAGAGCAGGAGGGAGAGAATGGGGAAGAGAGAGGGAGAAACATCGATGTGAGAGAGACTCTTGTTGCCACCCACACAACCCCAACCAGGGCCAGGGACAAACTGCAACTGAGGTACGTGCCCTTAGCGGGAACTGAACCTGGGACTCTCTGGTCCAGAGGTCGACGCTCTAACTGCTGAGCCAAACTGGCCAGGGCTGTTTGATACTTTTAAAAATCAATATTCATCATCCAATTGAATTTGGTTTATTTCTCCGAGTTGAGAGCTATAATTAAATAATCTATAGAGAATTTATTCTATTTTAAAGACTAACAAATAAGATTCACAACAATTTATAAGCAAATTATAATATTCATACAAACAGCTTGACTTAATCTGTATTATTTTTATCATCTGAGATATGATTACTTTTTAAAAATACAGTGTGAAACTGGAGACTTACTGAGCTATTGGGAGTCTTCTAGGTAATGACAATTTATTTAGTTCTGTAGACTCAAGAAAAATATCTTAATTTCATTTTTACTTTTAAAATATTTTGTATTGACACCAGTTATTATTACAAAGCAATAATTTTCTATATAAAAAGTCAGAACCTAAACATTCAGGTGAGAACTGATATTTAGCTCTAGTATTGTTAGAACAGATTTGCAGTTCCTCATTACATTTGAGTTGGTTTTAAAGCCATGCAAGTGAAATCTATTTTCATTATTTTCTATTCACACTACCAAAAAAGGTATTAGCTAGCCTTATTGACACGTTATTCATAAGGCATGACTACGAATGACTGGTGTATAAGATCAAATTAATGTTACATATGAAGACTTTAATGATGTTTATTAAAAATATTGTTCCTATTATATCATATGGACACTTCCATGTACTCCTTCTGTGGACCCTTTACTTTCATAACCTAACAGAACTTATGGTTCCTGTTTCTCGCTGTGTCCTTTGTTTTGCTGTTATCGATGAACACCTTCATCTGAGAAGAGGCACTGTGGATTGAAGGTGTAAGAGAAGGGGCGGGAGCAGAAGCGCTTTGAGGTTTGGGAGGACATGGTGCTCTTGGAGGACTAAAGAAAGTTAACACAGAAGATGCTTAAGGTTCAAGGTGATGGAGGGAAAGACAGTATTTGTAGCCTTCTGGGATCTTACCAGGCCTTTCCCAATCAAACTTTAGGCTACCCTTTTTATCTCCCATCTCCAACCCAACTTAACCAGCAGCAATACTTGTAGTAACAGCAGCAGCGCCATGGTGTCATGGGCCTGCACTCTTCCTTCTCTGTGTGCTGAGACTGTGCCAGGCTCTTTCCAAATGCTGTTATCCTATGTGGAAGACACTATTACCATCTGCTCCCACTGTTTTCTAGATTTTCCTCTACCACTTAAACAGTCTAAATTTTTCTCATCCACTTCTTACTTATTTTTAATTTTTTAATCCTCACTGAGGATATTTTTCCATTGATTTCTAGATAGAGTGGGAGGGAGAGGGAAAGAGAGCAGGAGAGAAAAATTGATGTGAGAGAGACATATTGATTGGTTGTCTCCTTCATCACCCTGACCAGGGCTGGGAATCAAACCTGCAACTGAGGTATATGCCCTTTACTGGGAATCAAACCCATGGCTCTTCAGTCCATGGACTGATGCTCTAACCACTGAGAAAAACTGGCCAGGGCCTCATCGACTTCTCATATGACAGTCTCATGTCCTCCCATCCTAAGACCATGTCCCAATTCATCTCTGTATCCATTAAGGTAATGATTTTCAACCTGTTTCATCTCATGGCATACATAAAATGATTACTAAAATCCTGTCGCATACCAAAAAATATATTTTTTGCTGATCTGACCAAAAAAATAGGTATAATTTTGATTCATTTACACTAGACGGCTATTGTTGTGTTGGCTGTTGCCATTTTTAAATTTAACAATCTGGTAAATAAAGGTCAGTGCCTCTGATTAAATAGTAAGGCACTGCATGTTTTACAAATTCTTGTGGCTCACTGGTGCCCCTGCCATGGCACACTGGTTGACAGTCACTGTATTAAGGTGTAGAAACAATCACAACATAATGACCCTAGGTTTGTTCTGGTCCGTAAAGTTGTAACCTCTCTTATTTCTGAAAACCCTATTTCTATGAATACATATAAACAAGCAATGAAAAATTTTTTTGAGAAATAGGTTCCTACTTTGGATTCACATTGAATTTAATAGTGATTAAAACCTCCCGCATTTCTTACTCGTGGAGCTACTTTGTCATCCCTCTGCTTGTACCTGGGGATTTTGCTGTGCTGATGCATATGGAGTGATAATCTTATGAAATATGTTTGCATTAAATGGGCCCATGGACCTTACCAAAGATCTTTCCAAAGACCTTACCTCTCAGTCACACCAGGCAAGATGAAGAACATCCAGAAATGAATTCCAAACACAAGAATGACCTGAAAAATGACCTTTCCCAATACAGTCTTCCTGAGGTACAGTGCTCGATCCACCACCATGGTTCCAAACTGAATAAGGACCATCACCAGAAATGGCCCAGGGACCTGGTCCTCGGACAGCGAAGAGGTGATGTCTGCTGCTGCGGAGTGTTTCTGGGAATGAGACAACAAGTTGATGCCTAAGTGGCATTTCACAGGACAGCATCACTATTAGTCATTGGATGTATGGTGGCCTTTACTTACTCCAAAGGCCCAAAAGCCAAAGACGATGATGATGAAATCAACAGTGTCAGCAAGGAACATAAGCACATACACGTCAGTCACGGCACTGTAGTCTGGGTGGATGAGGTTATAGAAGAACTGTCTGATGGGCACATATATTTGCAGAGTCCTGCAAAAGAGAGACCCCCATCCACTTGCTTCAGGAGAGGCGTAAGTGGAGAAATGACCAGATACCACAGTCATTCTGTTTCTCTGTATTACCCTTTCCAACCACATTGGACCTTCCTCTTTCAGCCTCAGGACAGTCTTACTGGGGGTGGCTCCTGCTCTAACAAAGTGTATACAGGTTCATTGCCAAGTTAGGTCCACAAACCTTTTCTCTTGCTGCATATGTTGTAGGGTGATATAAAACCCTGAAATTTAGGTGCCTGGTTTGCCATCTGATTCAATTACTCTCCACCTGTGAGACCTTGTGCATGCTGCTTAACTTTCATTGTTTCGATTTCCTCTTCTGTAAAATGAAAGTAATAATAAGACCTGAGGCATGGGGTTGGGGTGAGGAATATATGGGAATACACTAGGGGGCTTAGACCTGAAGTGCTGACCGGCACCAGGTCATCATTAGGCAGCCTTGCCCTTCCCCTTTTTGGGTCCAATGCCTCTTCTCTCATGGTTCCCAGGTAGTGTTCTGGGCTTTTGAGCTCCCCTTGCTTTGTCCTTTGTTACCATTTCTCCTGGCTCTGGCTCATCTGTTCAGCCTCTGACTTATCTTTACTGTGCTCTGAGTTTTGCCTTCAATTCAAGGCTGTGTTTAGGTGTGGATGGCCCTCCTGGTCTCAGAGCCCAGGTTCTGGACCAGCCCTGCTTTGTGCCCTCTGTTTTGCCTCCTCATCTGCTGCCTGTCTGCGGCACTGACACTTGGGAAAGGCCTGTGCATTTTGCTGGAGACTGGTTATATGACAATGGACAAACCACTTTCCCACCACGTGCCTCAGTTTCCCCTGTCTAGGATGAGAGAGGATCTCTAAGGCCCTTCCAGTTTTGACCGAAAATTCCTCTGTCCAGTAGACTTTTCCATGATAATGTCTGGAGTTACATATTGTGAACCTCTGAAATTACTTATCCTGTTCAAATAGAAAATGTGTGTTTATAAATGCAATAAATATAAAACCAAATCACACTAATTGAAAAGTGATTTTAAAAAACGGGTAACTTTTTTCTGCCTTAAGAAGATGATATCTGTGATATGAGAAGGCATTTCTCTGTTCTTCATTTCTTATATATCTGAAATAATTGTTATCAGTTATTTCCCAAAGTTCCCAGCCCTAAAATAAAACCCATGACCCAAGTGTTTGCATGCACTCACTTCTTTATGGTAAATGCTTTTGCTTTGATTAAATGTTCTTGAAGCTTTTCCATATAAAGTTCCCTTTTGCTCTTTCGCTTGATGCTCAAAACACTGCTTCCTTTTTGACTGCTGTTTCGGGTGCTTGTGCTGCCTAGGAATAAAAAGAAACCAAGATGCCCTGTGAGGTACAGGCTTATTGACATAGATATCACAGGAGCCCCCGGAACCCACATGGCAAAGGGATGGCTTGAACTGATTCAGAGGGAAGAACACACATGCCTGTAAGAGCAGTGACCAAAAATTTGTAATCTGCTGTCTCAAATCTGTTTCTGTAGTAAAACACATCTGTGGGTTTATACACTCAATGCTGACTCTTTTCTGGATTGTTATGTGATCTTTGTCCCAAGAAGAAACACATGGCAAGAACAGCTTTTACAGTGTTAAATAGGGTCCTAGATTGCAGGTTTTCACATTGGGTCGATGACCCATTCCTTTTCTCATATCCTAATTTCTCTAACTGTAAAATAAATATAAGAGGCCCTTCTAGCATCTGCCTGAAAAATATTTTCTGAAGATGATATAGTCATACCCAATTAATGATTTGTTAATTGGAGAAACGTTCTGAGAAATATGTCAGTAGGCAATTTCATGATTGTGTGAACAACAGAGTAGACAAATCTAGATGGTACAGCCTGCTACACACCTATGTTATATGGTATACCACTGTTGTATATTTGGATCTATCATTGACAAAAAAGTCATTATGCAACGCATGACTGCATAAGTGTTTGGTAACTTTCAGACAGTGGTGCCATAAATACAAATGCCTAGGTGCTCCTAGGGGACAGACCTATTTTTCTGATTGTACTTACTGTTTAGTAAGGAATTAATAATTAGGTGAGAAAATTACTAGATAGTTTGGCTAAAAGTTCCCATTGATAAAATCCCAATATATTTTTGAAATAAATTGTAATTTATAGCACTCTGGACACATCCAGAGGAATCTGTGGATATGATTTTAAAACTGTTGTGTGCCCAACACTTATTAGATCTCGGCAGTATGCTGGCCACTTTTCACAATTATCTGAATTCTTTGTCCCAGAAGGAATTAGACATTTAGAGCAATGATGTGACTGCCCCAGGACACACACATAGCGGAGTCAGGATTTGAATTTGGGTCTGTTTGATTTCAAAGCACTTTCTATTCACATTACAATATCTGTCTCCTTGGTAGCACCCAACAAACTCCCTTCTTCAGACACACTGGCACCAGAAAATACGAGACACCTTAGGGGTATTTCCAACCCAGGGATACCTCTCTGGGACCTATATGAAGAAAAGCTGGATCGGTGGGATATCTGGGAGTTGCTGCCAGAACGCTTCCTGCGGACAGCTGTCAGCTGCTCAGGGAAGGACACGTGCACTGACTCTGTGGACGCGGCCAGGTTGATGGATTTCAGAGAGTCAGAGGAGGCCCTTCTGCCATTACTGAGGGACAGCTCATCATCTGATTCTTCCTTGTCGGTGCCACTGTCGGTAACATCATCTTCATCCCATAAGCCATGGCACTGAGAAAGCACAGGAGGGACCATTCATATTGCTGCTTCAGGCATGGGAGCTGGTGTTCTGCCCCACAATATCTCATTCACAAACTGTCCCCCAAGATTAGAAAACCGAAGGTAAAACAGAGTAACTATACTTGATAACCACTGTTATTATCTGTTGTTATGTAAGTGAAATTTGTGAAGAGAATGAAACGTAAATGTTCTTGTTTTAAAAAAAGAATACATATGTGAGGTGATGAATGTGTTAATTAACTAGATGGGGGAATCCTTTCACAATGTGTAAATTTATCTAATCACCATGATGTACAGTTTAAATATTTTATAATTTTTTTTTTTAAATCATCACCTGAGGATACTTTTCCACTGACTTTTTTTTAGGTAGAGTGGGAGGGAGCGAGGGAAGGAGAGAAAGAGAGAGAGAAAGAAACATTGATGTAAGAGAGACACACCGATTGGTTGCCTCCCACACAACCTTGACCGGGGGCCGGAGATGAAACCCATAACCGAGGAATGTGCCCTTGACTGGGAATTGAACCTGAGACTCCGGTCTGTTGCCTGATGCCCTAACTGCTGAGCCAAACTGGCCAGGGCTAAATATTTTATAATGTTATTTATCAATTATACTCTAATAAAGCTGTAATTAAAAATTATTTTAATTACAACAAAGGCAGGGGAGGAATTCTAAGAAAGCTCATTGACTATAATTCTATGATGGTCCCAGTAGAATGGAGATGGGTGGGTATAGATGATAAAGTTTGGCTAATTAACTGAGATGGAGACAAGTGATGTTTGACAGATGGAGAAAAGGCAAAATTATAATCACTTGTTCCTTGAGTGAAAGCACTTTCCAGAACACATCTCCCTATGCTTACGACTAGTACTCCAAATACCAACTTGAAGTATCAGTGGGTGAATTTAGCCCCACTGCCCTATGTTTGCCAAATATCTGTACTTGAATAATGATGCCATCCCTCCTCAAGCCTGCACAGCCCAAGATGTGAATCCTTGAATCATCCGTGGCTAACTTAGAAACAGAGCTGCAAATAGTTTACTCAAAAAATGTTGGCCCACATGTGAGACAGAGATCATGGTGCATTCTGTAAGCCTGGGTTCTGTTCCAAGGATGTAGGATAAAAGGGGCAGATAAAGAGGGTAGGAATGACAGCAAAAAAAGAGGCTGAGAAAGCAGGGGCCTTGCTGGAACAAGATGTTACCTGGATTGCAAGTCGCCCTTACGATGACCTTGCTGCTGTTGGACAAAGCTCCCTAATGACCTTATTGCCTTTTGAGTGTTCAAACAGCTAGGCTCTGCATTTAATCCCTAAGACCTTGACTGGTACTCCCCCTGACACATACTTTGGAGGATAAGAGCTTCAGGTTAATTTGCCAAAAATCGGTTGGTCAAAAACCAACTCAGAAAATAATTACTTTATCAAAAGACAAAGTCACCCAATTTACAAATTATTCTTAAATATTTATTTATAGATATACTATTTTTAAACACATTAAATAAATATATTCTTATAAACAAACATTTTAGGTGTTCATAATGGGATTTTCCAGTTTACACTGATTTCTTTCAAATCATTTTAAAGTTGTTTTGTCTTTTGCCAACATTTTTGCATATTTAGATTCTTTCCCTACTTTCTTAGTAGTATATTTAAGTTTGTTAATTCTCCTATTTATAAAATTTCAGCAATTAATACTAAATAGGATAGTTTTAACCACTTTTCAAATTCCTACATAGTTTTTGTTGTTTGGTTTCTATAGCAGTGTTCTATAAGAGGTTTATTTATTTTTTTCATGAAAAGATTTATCATTCCAAAAAGTATTTTTTATATTATCCAAAATTTCAGCCTAATACCAGTACCTCAAATCTCATATACATTCATTATGTAAATAAAATTTTCAAAGAAGAAATTAGAGTAAGTATATCAATATAAAACACCAAAATTTTGTTCATTGTACACTTTAAATATAAAATTGTAGCTGTTAAACTATTTGACTATTGATGAAAAATAGTAAACGTGATTAAAGGTTTATAAAAATTTGTAAATGACATGTAAAAGGATACAAAAGTTGCAAAATAATTATAAAGTGGCCAAAATTATACCATTATGTTTTAAATGCTGAAAATTTAACTAATTTCTAGAACTGAAGATATATGGTTAATATATTAATATAGTCAGAACAAGAATTAGTAACGTGGATTAATTCAGAAAATTAACATAGTCATCATTAAAGCTGGACGTTTTGGGTAAATTCAATTTTGGCTAACTGGTTTCCTTGAATAACATACCTTTGTAAACCTACCACAACCCAATAACCCAGGTAAGGATACTGCAAGATGAACGCTTAGGGACTAGGCACTTTGCAAGGTGACAGAAGATAGAATAAAGATCTTGACCAAAGCTGTACACAGATGAACCCAATTTGAAATAGCCCACTACGTATGACAGAAGTTGAATACATGTGTGTGTGTGTGCATGTTTATATATGTGTGTGTTTGTATTAACTTGGGTTAAGCCTGTTCTAAACAGGAACTAATAAAGATACTACTTGATAACATAAATTTAAATATTGTATAAGAGGAGACAGGTTTAAAGTAAGAGCAGAAAAGTAAGGTTGTGACAATAGGTACTTCAACACATAAAATGTATGCTATGCAATAATTTCTAATTTTTATCAAGTGGCATATTTTACATATTTACAAGCTAAGCTTACAGTTCATTATATATAAGAAGAAGAAAAAAAACCACATATTTGCTCAGGAGGATGACAAGAGTTTCTGAACCCAAGACAGGTCATCCTGTAGGCAGGTCTTCCCAGAGCAGTGTGATAAATAGCTTTCTCAACAATAAGTTTATAGAAAGAAAAACACAGAACTAACTTCACTAGACCATTTAATGTATGGTCTCTCACTAAAGCTAAAGGTTTCATGACAAGAAACTATTCAATAAAATCAATGCTACTAGAAGATGGTAGGCGGAAGTTGGAATGGAGATAAAAAGCAATGTGATCCACTCCAAGTTGTAGCTTTCTGATGTTCTGGCTTAAACTAGGAGTAGAATTTAGCATATCAGGCATTAAGCTACTGTATACCATTCAAACAATTCCCACAAGTGTGAATTAATTATTATATTTTCAACCCAGGATAGAAATATGGGGAAATTTGCTCCCAGATTTATTATAAGTTATATTATTGAGCACAGAGTATTGGAGAAAATGTCCACTACATAAATATAACTTTTTAAAAAAAGCATACAAGTAGACAATACCCACTGGGCCCTCAGCACTGTCACCAGTCCTAATGTTCAGTTCTCTAAGAATGTCACAGGGACAGCAACTATCAAAATGTCCTGGTTAACTGTTCATGTGCAGTACCTTCAAAATTGATCGATGGAAGAAAAGAGCCAGGAGCTGAATGAGATCATAAAGAACATAACCTTCTTTCTTTTCCACACCTATGATATTAGGTGGGTGGTAAGGTTTATCCTTGTTCAATTCCACATGCTTATTCCAGGGAAAAAACCCAAATTGGAAAAAATACTTGATCACAATTGTCACCTATACATGGATGACAGAAATTAAAAAGAAAAAAAAAAAATCCTTGTAAGAATAGTTATATAGGCGAAACAGCAATATAAAAAACTAAGAAAAATCCATTTCACAGTTTTGATGAGAGAAATGCATACAATTATATGGAATAATTACATTTTCATTCTTACAGACCATTGATTTCAGAACAGGAGCTAAATCTTACCCTTGTGAGTGCCTTTGATCGTGGATATATCAGGGCCAGGCAGGTTACACATGACACTACTTAAATGATTTCCTCTATTTCTGAGAAACAGGCTAATTTATAAAGATTTAATTTATATATATATATATATATATATCATTTTCCAGGTACTAGAGTATGGTAATTAGGACACAAGAACAGAATAACATTTATGTCTTTATATTTTATATATTGCTTTAATTTATAATCTTGATGAACACATCACACAATTTTCACTTTACTCCAAACTCTTTCTTCTCACTGCTTTATTGCTCACTTGAATTACTTCTCAGGAAGAAATAAAAATAAATGAAACAAACTGGTCAGTTGTGCTGACATAAGTACATAAATGCAGAGAAGTGGTATGTTGAAAGAGAAGGACAATGAGAAAATGGATGGGTTGCCTTTAAGCATACCTCTAATGTCTATATCATCAGGAGTTCGTTGCAATATACACAATTCATCAATAAAAATACTTTTAAAAGTCCTCTGTTGACCTAGAGTTTCCTTTATCTATTCCCCTCTCTCTCTCTCGTATTCTTAGTCAAGCTTCTGCAAAGAATAGTCCTGTGTTTCTTATCTTAGTGAACATCCCCACATACCAAATTCCAAAGCAGAAACCAGGAGGTAGGTCATCCTTGCCTCTCCTCTTCTCCCTCACACCCCAAGTACTTTTAGTCAATTACTAAAACCTCATTTACCCATTCATCTTCAGCCTCATTGCCACTGCATTCACACCCTATTACTTCCCAATCTGACAGTTAAAATAGTTTCCTAGCTGATCTCAATGCGTCCACTTTCTTTCTGTATAAAAACTTGCAAAAACACAAACCTGATCCAGTCATGCCCCTGTTTAAATCATTCAGTACCAAGGGGATAAGTCCTGAGCATGAACCCTGTCGGCATTCCCAGGATCTTTCTGCTGTGCTCTCCACTCATAGCCTGACTTCCGGCCATCAAAACTCACCTGTCATTCTTGGTACTTGCCAGGTTGTCTTATGCCTTTGTTTGTTTGCATGGCTTATTTCCAATGACTGGTGCTCCCTCTATTTTTCTTCCTTTGGTACTTTACACTCATCCCTTAAGATTTACTTCTAAGTTCTCTCTCACTGAGATGTCACTGTGATAATCTAACCTCTCTCCACCCGACCAGGCCACATGAGGCACAGCATCCATGTAACTCTGTGCAGTCTCTAATGCAGTTTTGTATCAATTGCAGGGCAATTCTTGTTTACATCATTTTTATTTGCCACATCAGTCTGTGAGCCACTGAGAAACAAAATAATCTTTTTCTTTTTAAAAAACTTATGATTGTATTATGCTGAGCACAGTGCTCGGGTTTTGGTACATAGTTCATATTGTGGAGTGAATTAACATCAACTTAATTTCCCACTTCTTCACTTCTTACAGTGGAGAACCCAAATTTAACTTAACCAGGAAGGCTTGATTTTGAAGTTGAAAGCTGTATAAAAGAAGCTATTTTTCCCTTTCCCACATTCTCAGTACCTGCTCTTACTTTACTCATAGGTGAGAAACTCCTTCCCACAGAGGTGGTAGAGGATGTACCCATTCTCTAAATAGGGAGTCATTTACATCCCAGATCATGAAATGATGTACAGGAGTAATATTTAAGAACAAAATAGTAATGAACAGGCTAATTAAAGTAACAGATATATATTTGGCTTTACATCTTTTATTTTTTGAAAATAAGATACATGATATCAATACTTTAAACTGAATACTTTTGAAATGATTTAATATATAACTTTGTTTTAATTTTACTGTTGAGTTACTTATAAGCCTATAAAATTTCTAGACTCTAATGGTACATCCATCCTGAGTACTATCCTTTAAGAATTAAGTACCATTGTTAGTGAAAACCTTTTTTTAAGAGCCAGGTAAGAAAATGATCCTTCTACATAGAGCTCCCTTTTATTTTCAGTTCTATGGTTGTCATAGGCATTTCTGATTTTCTATATATTTAATAGGGCAGGGTAGAAAGGCAGGTACAACTGGGCAGTGTCTCTTATCCCCTTACCTGTGATGGAAATGGGTTGGCGGTTCTCTTTCTGTCATTCAGATGTTTAAGTGAGTTATTCTATAACCTTGGGTTTTGATGTATGGAAACTGGCCTAAGTTTAAAAATGGGATATATCCTTGTTGCATTAAACTACATTCAAAGGGCTTACTGTATGGTTAAGTCAGCATCTATTCATGGAACATTCACAGGCTCCAGGCACTATGCTTGGTTCTACATAGTACTGTTATTATCTTAGTGGGTAATATCACATGGCAGACAACCAGGCTTCAGGAGTCTGCCCCACCACTCACCAGCTGGGTAACATTGGACCAGTTATTTAACTTTACTAGAGCTGGTTCCTTATCTATTAAATAGGAATAATATTAGCACCTATCTTGTGTGAGATGTGAAATGTAAAAAGATATATAAAATTACCAGCACTAAATAACAATAATTTGGCTACCTAAGAAAATCCTCGGTGGAGAACTGTGGCAATTCAGAGTCTGGAGTGACGCCAGCCACCTCAGACTCTTCCTGACTGTTCTGTGTGAAACTGTCTGGGAGTTAGGCAGGCCCACTTAGAGTCAATGCTCAAAGCAACTTGCAAGAACGTTCCTCCCAAGGCCTACCTCTGTGTAGACAATGGCCATCATCCAGAACCGTCTGCTGGGCCTTGGGACAGACAGCATGGCCCAGAGGAATATCAGAATGGGGAGCACAAGGGTGATCATGGAGGCAGAAACCATGTGGTTTAGGATGATCACAAAATAGCACACCATTTCTGAGCGGGCCACCAGAGTGTTGTACATGGCATAAAACAACAACAAGAACCGAGGCTGGTCAACATAGAATTTCTCGGATTCTTCAAGCTCATCGTCATGGAACATCCTGTTAAAATAAACATGACAATGCATTTGTCTTAATTTCTTCAAATTACTGATTTCCATTTTGCATGATCCTTCCTGTCCCTCCCCTTTTCCCATGTCCCCAGATTTCTGTGTAAAACCCTGAGAGGCTTCTGCCACCTGCCTGCGGGCTCTTACTTGTTCAGCAGCAGCTCGCTGGCTGTCAGCTCGTGTGTCAGCGGGGGTAAGATGCTGGACTCCAGCTTGTCTGAGCGGCTGTCGTCGGGGCTGACTGCCATGCGGCTCGGACCCGCAGAGTCGTCCTGTGAGCCGAAGGATAGGCGCTCAAAGCTGACAGCCTTGCTGTAGGATGGCGGGGCCTCCACATCGCCCTCCTCGGTGGAATACTGAGGCAGCTCAGTCTCTGGGGTGAAGCCGGCCTCCTCGGACTCCTCAGTCTCCTCGACCTCCTCTGCCTCTTCCTCCTCATCCTCCACTTCCTGGTCCTCCTCCTCCTCAGGCCCCTCGGACCCATCTGGCTCCATGTCCGCCTCGGCCTCACTGCCCTCATCGTCGGTGTCCTGGACCCCCACCTCCTCGTCCTGCTTGGCCTCTATGTCCTGCTTGGCCTCTACCTCCTCCTGCTCGGCCTCCACCTCCTCTATGGTTTCCGTGGTCCCCTGGCGCGAATACAGCATGGTGCACTGAGTGGGCTCGCTGTCAGAAGAAAGGGATGGGCACAGACGCTTGTCTTAGCATCCAGCTCCTCGGAATCCTCTCAGATTCTCAAGGTACCTCTTAGTACTCCCAAACAAAATTTACTCACAAAGCATGGAAACAAAGTGAACACATTTCCCCTCCCTGCATTCCATCTGTGTTGTTCCTTCAGGGTATTCATACCTGGTCTGCAGACTGCAAACAGCACCCTCTTAAACGCAAAAGCTGACAGTGCACATACCCAGTTGAAAACCAGAGCAAGTCCTATGCATGGAGATTTTAAAATTCATATCAAGATTCACAGCCATGGGTTCCAGTGTTTATCTCCAAATCAAGACACAGCATAGCATACCTACCATTGTCTATATTTTAAAGCAAACTGCATATGGAAATGAGAAGCCTTGCCAGTTTGGGTCTGCTGGTGTTGAACAAGATCAACCCTACTCTCAATCCTATGCAAGGGACCTACCCAGAGCCAGAAGAGAGGATGACAGGAATGATAAAATATAGGCTAAACAACTGCATGCTTTATAAAAAACAAAACAAAAATGGCCCACTTCTTTTACATTTGTTCCTTTTCCCTGTTTTCCCATCCTTTGCTGTTTTCTTATTACTGTTGATTACATTTGACTAAATTTTTACCATCTCCAGCTCCCAACCATCTTCCAATAAGCTCTTTGTCTCCACACGGAAACACCTATCATTTTCTCCTATCCGGTGTGATCTCTCCGTAGGGGCTTGCTCCACCCCCAGGGTTCACTGCTGCTCTGACTACTCCCAGCTACGTCAACTGATTTTCTTCTGCCAGCTCCCCTTCTAGTATTCACTTCCTATCAGCTCTCTACCCTTATCTTCACTCTCTCTTTTTGGCATCCAGTTCTTTTCCCTGGCATCCTCCACTCTTTCTTTTTGTGTTTTATTTTTTAACTTTCCCTGGCAGGTCCATGCAGAAAAAGTTGGAAATTAAAATACAGTTGGCATACCAGTGAAATTCATGGCATGCTTTTTAATATTGTTTACCTCAGATACATCCAGTCCCCAAAGGGGAGAGGGACAAAACTTATCTGGAGATGTAGAATCTGTGGATATAAAACTATAATTTGTTAGATTCTGAAGTACGCACTGTTTTCTGAATGGCACATGTGGGCAAGTAGGGTCTGTAAACAATGAGATTCTCAAATGCAGATTGTACCCATTTTTCTTGTCATCACACCAGTGTAGACATGTCAGTGAAGAAATGAATGAGTGGATGAAACTTGACTCTCCCTTGAGACTAAAAAACCAGATTTGCATGAGTTCTGCTTAGGTGTTTACTATTCCCAGGGCTTTGCCCCTAAGCATGCATGCACCTCACGTAGAAGGCTCTTGGAACGCCATGCCAAACTGGCTTTTTGCTAAGACTTACCTTAATTAGACATAGCTTCCTAGGAAGGCCATGAAATTGACTGATCACCCCAGGGTATTTTCAGACCACTGGAGCCAACCCCAGACCATCTCTAACTTCCAATTACACTAAATCCAGTGACAGGAATGCTCTCTATGGTTTTGGATCTGGCCTGTCCCCAAAGGGATTCCACAAACCCTGGTACCTTCAGGAATCAACAAAGTGGAACAGCATAGCTTGTGTCTGCCAGAGGACATCTCAAATGGCCAAGGCATTCCCCTCACTGGCAGACTCTGGCGTACTGCAGCGCTGTGTTAAGATACGTAGCTGCCAGCAAAAAGAAACTAACAACCCTCTGATTTGCCAAAATTGAAATTAGTTTTGGATGGGTTATTTTGGTGTCAGGATAAGCAAAATGTAGTTGCTGAACATTCAAAGGCAACTCAGAAAAGAGCTTTTGAATTTAATGCAAATAATTTCATGATTATTTTATGGTAGGATTTAATGAGAAAACTTAAGCTGAAAGTAATCTTTTTCAAACAAAACAAGTTAGAGTCTACAAACATGATACATTCTATTACATACTACTGTTCTTAAAAAAAATCAGTGGTAAAATATATTCTGACTTTTATGTCAGTTATGCATATAAAATATGGCAGATTTGTTCTATATCAAAAAATGACCACATAAGGCACATTTTCAGATTTCTTTTTCTACTGCATGTTATCTTTTGATGAAATCATGAGAACAATTTTTCTAACTTTTCTGACATATTTTCCCCTGTGAGGACTGCCTACATGAGCCTCTCAATCACGGAGGAAACATGCTAATTTCTTTGAAAGTGAAAAGTATAAAATACTTAAAAAATGGAGGACAATATTTATAATAAGGATTTTTAAGAAACTCCTAACAGACAAAAACTAAAGAGCGGTTAATTTACTAGAATGCTGTCCTGGGAACAACCAGTTATGTCCCAGAAAGGATGGTGGTTATGCTTTGGTTATTCATGCAACTTATTAAAAGAAAAAGAAAAAGAAAACATACATCACACAAACTTATATTTGCAATGAGACAGGGGATATAAATTACAGACAAAACATGCACAAGTTAAGCACCTTGATGCTAAACTGCCACTGTCAGCTGATGAGGAGGACACATCCAAGCTGAGCATTTTACGGAGCCTAGGTCGAGCACGCTCACTTGTTTTAGGAACAGTTTCTGGTCCATCTAAATCATCAAGGGTAGACTGCCTTGAGAACAGCATGGTTGCTTCAGTGTAGCAGCTAGCAGCGCAAACAGTTACAGAGACAGTGTTAAAACACCAGTGGTAAATCAGTTTACATGTGGATCAATTGATTAACACACTGCCATGCAGCAAACCACACACGACACCAACACCACAACGACGACCACCACCACAGCAAGGCGCAGGGACGGGGAAGGACCTGTTTGGCAGGACAATAAAACACAACAGTACTGAATTTAACAAAATATATTGGCTAGTGATAAATTACAAAATGTGGGTGGGACACAGAAATAGAGTAATTATATGTCCCAACACTCCTCTCACAGAGAATTTATATCATTGTAACTTTGCAACTGAGGTTTCTATATTGAGAAAAATATGCTTTATTTGGATTCCTTGAGTTCTATGAGAGCATTTTGTAACCAAATTGCTTAAGCAGAAATACCTGCTCATGTAAAATTTACGTAAAAGATTCCAATTTTTTAAGCACAGTCTCCAAAATGAGAGTGTGAAGCTCAGGAATGACCACAATAAACTGAATATTCCACCCCATTTTCTGAGTGATATTCAGTGAAGCCAAACTAGATGCCTTGCATGTAGAAGACATGTTGGTTTGGTAGGCAACTGTATATAAACCAACATCAAATAAATAAATAAATAAATAAATAAATAAATAAATAAATAAATAAAATGGTACAAAGAAAACAACAAAGGAAGTCTAGCAATGGCAGGGTCATTTTGTCTGTTAACTTTTCATTTTGTCTAATGAATTTTTTCTTCTGGATCATGTTTTAGGTGTTGATGGATATCATTAGGGTGAGAACCAACTGGCTAAAATCCTCAGCTCCTGTTCCCCAATGAAGCAACAACTGGGGAGGAACTGATGGCAGATTCATGACTGAGATGCTACTGGGTGATGCACTGAAGAAGAAGAAGCAAACAGCATTATGATGTAGACATGATTTCAATTCAGACATTTAGCTTAATCTCAAAGAGCCCATGAGGGTAGCTCCTGGAATACAGATCTTCTAACCTGAATATGAATGGCTTGGCTGCCCCAGGAGAGCAGACCTTTGTGATGCAGGATGGCTGATTCCCCAGGTGACACTGTTAAACTGAACATCCATCTTCATCAAATGACTACACTAGGAGGCCTACCATATGCCCCACCTGCACAGCCAGATGCCCTCAGTCAGTGATTATGAGACAGAAATGGACACCATTCAGGATGTTACAACCTCTGTGGGCTGGGGAGCAGGGAATTTGAGTCACTCACTCATGGAACCTGTTAAAGGGTTTTTCAGGTTCCATGTGCTTTAGCATAACCCACGGGTGCTCCTGTGGGGCCATCCTGCTGTGTGGGTCACAGATACATGGCCAAGAGAGGTGCAAGACAATGAGACAGATGAGCACGCAAGCAATCAAATGGTCTCTAGTAAGGACCCAGAGGCTGTCTTTTTAAAAGCAGGCTATAATTCCTTTAAATGTCACCATGTCCTGAACAAAATGATAAACTAGAAATGCATGCACAAACACAGGGAAGACTGGGCTTGATTCTCCACATGGACATTAACTGGCTATTGGGTGTTAGATAAGTCAATTCCCCTCTTTGGGGGTCCCAACTTTATCATTTATGAAATAAGGGAACTGGGTCTTTGAATTTCTATATTTCATTTTATATTTTTAAAGATACAACACCAAGGCCTTTTTGGAGATTGCAGGGAGAAAGACAGGGTGCTGCCTCTCCCATAGCACTGCTCAAATTTTCTACATGAGAACTATTGTTCTAAACCCTACTTATCTAGTTAATTCTTGCACTGAGTTCTATTGTCTCGTCAGCCCATCTTCACATCCCATGCAATTGGAGTACGTATATTTGGAGTGTGACCAATTTATTGCCCAACGTAGGACAGTTTTACATGTAAAAGGGAAAGAGAGGACCTTTATAAAAACAGGCCTAGAAGACAAGCCCAAATGGTTGGTTGTTGTCACCTTGCAAGGTCACACAGCAACCTCCAGGTTTCATCTCAAACGATAATACATCCTTTCATATCTAGGAATGCTCCTTAGGATGTCACTGATGTTTTTTGTAGGAATTTAAACAAATGTATATTCTAGGAAGGTAGATGATTTCTGATTTTATAAAACAGTCATTAGTAAAATGATTGCTATTTTGTATCTGGTTTTGAAGGAAATGACTATTCTAATAAGTCAAATTCATTTGGTAGGTTCCCACCCCGACCTCCTCTACTGTAAGCCCAAAGGTAGAGATGGGTGCATGGATGCCAGGACAGGAGCTGTGGCAGGCCAGGCAGCTCCACCTAGGCTGGGTTTTCTGAAAATGGGGGCTGGGCCACACAGAGCATGTGA